AAGGTTGCATGTCATATCTCAATGGGTGCTTTGCGCTCTGCTCAGTACCCGCAGCAGGCGCGCGATCGCACAGTTTTCTGTTCTTGAAGACCAGGGCGCCACAAGGACCTTTTGCGCACAATATAAATTGGGCTCTTGTTCATGCTGTTCCTGTTCAGCAAGCCACAGAACTCGTCAGCCTTCGACCAGCCAAGGTCCAAACAAGTATACGAGCGCGACAGGGCCGAGATTGCTTTCAAAGCTGAGGAATTTCACGAGTTAATGCTGGTGCTATAACACTAGTTAGCAGTGAGATCTCATATCTTACCCAGCCAGCGTGGCTGGAGAATGACGAATGATGATGGCTGGGCAATCATGGCTGGGTAGTGACGTGGCTGAGCAATATCAGTAACTGCCAGTAGTTATGTATGTATCCTGACATACATACTCCGTACAATGGCATGACTGATGAGCCTTGTCATGAGAGTAGATTTCCCCCCTTCTGATATCGGGGGCTGTCCACTGGAGCGGAGCCGACTGTTAGTCTGTTAATGCCCCCGTCGCACATGCCTGGTCGTGGTCCTGAGGCTGGCTTTGGGCTGGCCTTGTTCATGGAACCTTCCACGACCAGTGGACCCCGCGTTGTGTTTTTTTCGCCAACGCCACGTCCCGGGCCAAGGGCCCCGAGGAAGACGCCGCGTCCTTGTCTCGCGGACTGCGGACGGCGCGCTTTGCCTGCAAGACACAGGGGCCGTAGGACCAAGACAGGAATAGCTCGCTGGGGGGGGGGCAGGGGGGGAACCTTTGCAAGACCGGCCTAGCAAGGATGGGGGAGAGCTGCTGTGGATGCCTGCAGGGGCGAGAAAGAAGGGCTTTTATTGTACATCCATTGATGTTGCCCGTCCAAGTTCTTCTCGACAGCCACCATCAAGGGGAAGAAACCCCTCAACTCGGTTTCTCAGTCGACACCTTTTCGCCTTCGGTGGCTTGGCTAGTTACAGTGACACCGGATAAAATGTCGATCTTGCAGCTTTTGGTCCTGGTGGAGGGTTACCCAACCATGTTGAATACTTCACTCGCTCGTAAACTCGTCACCGCTCGAGACTGCCATCCTTTGGAGAACGTGGGCCCGTGTTACGGAAAGCCTCCAAAAGCAATACATGTACACATCCCACAGCCTGAAAAACACAAATGCGTCAATATCGCCATTATGCGCGCCTTGCAAAATCTAGAAGGAAGTGGTATCATGGTCCTTTGTGCATGGAGCCGATGGGGCCGCTCCCTGCGTCTGCGTCCCGACGCTGTGGTTTGTCCTGCATTAGTTAGTTAGTTGGCTTCGTATGACACCCATATATTTGCTGATGATATGAAAAGATGGTGGTCTTTTTCGTGGTAGTCTGGGATCCGCGCAAGCCCCAATGTAGAAGGAGACAAGCTGACAAGAGAGCGAGTCGGTTGGTCCCACAAGGCGTGCGGCAAATTGGGGCCTGGATGGGAAGTTGAGAACACATGGCGCCGTGAAAAAGAGTGAAAGAAGGAAACCCAGGCTCCCGGGTATTCAGACCCCGACGCGTAGACTTGCAGAATGTCTGGACGCGAGCCCGTCGAACAGAACTTTGCCAGTTCTCTTTCGAGTCAATCTCCCCCGCCTTCCTCTTTGGTGGCGTCTCTGCTTTATTTCCCTCTCTTGAAGGAGGGTGTGAAGGAGAAAGGAGATGGGTGTGTGACGAGAATACCATCGAGTTCGGCGGCCGCGTTCAATTTTGGGGGGGGGACACGCGATTGACTGCTCCTTGGCAAATTGTCTTCTATACGGATAACTCGCAAAAGCCCAGGGCATCAAAAGGCATCACGCCAGCCTTGTGAATACTGATAAAATCGAGATTGCCCATTTTTATGCGTCGCGGTTAAAATACTGCCCCGTTTCAACATTATCAAAGACATGGATGACCTGGTCACTCCTGCCTCGACAGGCCTCCGGGGCAAGCGATTCTGGCCCAATGCCATGGGTAGGGATTCACCGGCACTTGACTTCCGTTCGCTTTGACTTTTGACAGCATGGAGCATTGCGGGAGAAGAGCATTGCTTTCGTACTGATATACTGTGAATGGCCCAATGTCAGGTCTCGGAGAGGCTGTAATGGACTTGGCACCTTTGGCTCGGCCTTGCGAGTCAGGTGTGAATGGAGAATTGCCGACGTGTACAGATGGGGCTTGTCGTATATATTAACGCTTATTGCAATGGGGTGATAAAAAGGTTAGCAGAGTGCGGAATAACGGAAGAAAAAAATAGTACATGTATTTGTCACTATCTCGCTGGCTAATAAATGGCAAAGGCCGACAAAGAAAATACGGTAGATAGGAATGGGACAATGTCAAAGCTATGGGTTGAATAAACTATGTAAAATACATTAAACAGTATGAAGCAAAAATGTTGAAATTTAACAGGTCTGTCTATGCAAATTATTCCAGTGCCGACAGTTTCCTTTGGTGGTAACGCCAGCGCCAAATGAAACAAAAATCTGTTTAAATATGATGTAGTCGTCAATGTTGATTGAAACAGAGGGCAAAAATTCGAAACGGAAATAGAACATGACTGGAATGTAAAAGATGTATCCTTCCAGCTTGATGTAGTCCGCGACGAATAGTCCAAATTGGCCGTTCAACTGTTCTTTCATATCATGCATCGGATTAACCATTCTCATCATCATTCCGGTTATTCTCAACGTCTCTATTTTTAGCCATTTTTATTTTATCGAAAGAGGCTGTCAACCGTTTCGCTAAGGCCTCTAACTCGTTGGGTCACGTCTCCTTGCAGCGATGCAGTTCACTTGTATTGGTTGTCGCATACTGCGGAAGCTTGAAGGTTCGACCCCTCTAATACGGTCTTTTCAGTAAAGTCTTGGTCTATTATGCGCCAAGGCACACAGAGATTGCGTGAAAGCCCGGTAGGATTAACCATGCCTTCTCACCTCCTGGTGCAGGCTCGAGCTTGCCCAAGCCGAGGATGAAAGCCTGCACCTACAGAACCGAGATGGCGCATGATTACTATCAATTTACTCTGCTTATGCAGAGATTTTGGGGTTATTTGGTTTTACACAGCAGGGAAAAGTCAGAAATGTCATCTACACCTACATTTCAGTCTTCCGTTCTCACTTGCCACTCTGAAGAGAGGCACTGGTGGCAGAGCCCAAGTGTGCGGGTGTCAATGCAGCTAATTATAGCCTCAACAAGGTCAATACACCGGCCTGTTGATTGATGGGAGTTTTGTATATCGAGTATACTGGGCTTTTTGGTCAGCTTGTGATCCGGGTCAAGCTTGTCGCCAGGGCGTTAACAGCTTCGCCTACGTCGGGGAAGCGATTGTCGGGTGGGTGGACTTCGAGTCCAGTCTAGTCAAACCTGTTATTAGAGTCTTGGTTGAATCTAGTATCTAATATTAATAAGCAAAGGCTTGCTAATAACTTCGTCATCTAAATACTCCTTAGGCGCAGGATATGACGCTGTGACATTGGGACGAAACAATCAGCGAAAATGGCGTTTCTGCGCGGCAGCGACGCTTGAGACTGGCAAAGGTCATTGTGCCAAGTTTTATCCTAACATGTATGCTTTATTTATCTCGCGCTTCCTGTTAAAGCTGACAATTATCATGGGTTAGATATCGCGGCATTTGAAGAGCATGACGATGCTCGATGTCATTCGAAGATTCTGGACTGTATGGCCCTTCACTTTGCAAACCTGGCAGGTACCAAAGAGTACCCATACTACTGAAACTTTTCATCTCAAATCCAACCCTCCCGCGGGAAAAACCAGTCTCGAGAAACAACTCGCAACCCCAGAGCTGGCTGGGTTCCTAGAGGAAAAAGGGATTAATACCATGTCGAAAGTGTCTCGCACAAACTAAGTTTTTGGCTGCATATTAGATTCGCCTTTGAGGTGCATGCTTAAGGGCCATGCAGGATGCCGTCTTCATTGTCAGTAGCGCGAGCAGCATCGAAGGTGCTGCCCTTGCCAAACACTGCCCCAGAAGCATCTACGCACCAGGTTGTGAAAGACGCTTCCTGAATACCATGAGCACCGACGTGTATCTCGTGGCTTAAACTGCGACTTGCCGTATTTCTCTAGGTAAGGGACGATATATATCTATGAGTACGAGACTAACACTCAAACCCCATTCAACTAAGGTACAGTTTTACAATCTTCACTACAAATGATAGCGCTATCGACGAGGAGGGAGTAATAAAATTGGCTAACGAGTCAAAGCGATTGTTTTGGGGCGTGACTCTCACAGGCCAAAAATTAGATAGCAGCAGGGTTCGAACCTGCACGGCCGAAGACATGGAATAAATGGCATTTGAGATGAAGCGCGGTGCCCAGGTGACGCGTGACACTCAGCTGGAAGGGCAGTTTAACGTAACAACGAGAACGAAGATAACGCCTCTAACTTGAAAAAAAAAAGTCCACACGATTCACTTAGCATTCCTACACTTGAGAGAAGGAATAAAAAGTAAAAAAGTAATATGGTAAATTAACAAGTACGATAGTAGCAGGATTCGAACCTGCGAGGGCGAACCCATAGAATGGCTTGAGAAAGAGGTTCAAATTCTACCCGTTAACCACTCCGGCATACTACCATGTTGAATGGGATCGAAATTATTTCAATATATGATGACTCTAGCCTGAGCTCAGACACTATTCGCTAAGGAGACCAGATAGGTGGGGCATTATATTATTAGAGAAGCTGCAGATCAAGATAATACCCTCGTTTACCACTCCAGCATACCATGTTGTAACTGGGATGCGATTATTCTAATCTATGATGATATTGACAATATAGGCAGCGAAGAATGTCACTGGATAGGTCTAGCACGATTCCCAGCCACACGTCTGGTTCATCTCTTCCCTTGTGCATTACCCACTTAGAGCTACATAACGAATGAGTGAATAGTATTAACGGGTTTATTAGTAGACTCTAGCTCATGGTTAAGCCAATCTTCGACCGTATGGCCTAGAAAGCCGTTGCTATGGGCTCTGGACGAAACTATTGACCACTGTGGTGACGGTGGAGTATAGCGGTGACGGGGAGTAAAACGTGCGGTCCCGGTCACGGATGGTCGATTTTGGCGTGGTTGTATTGGCACGCGGCGTGACAGGCCGCTCTGTGCCTAAGGTGCCGGCTTGGGATTCTCGCTGCGCTGGTGGTGACGGGGGCACATCTGTGACTGGCAGTACCGGGGCTGATGCGACGGAATTGGCGGATAGCGTCCGCGTAACGCGTGGCCACGAATCAATACTCTGCGTGCCAGGCGTTGGCGGTTCCCGTGCAGGTGGAGTTTCCGTTGAATTCTTGGGACGAGTCGTTGCGGAATCCTTCAGAGCGTCCTGGTACGACATCTTGAACGGCTCTGAGAAACTCAAACGGGAGACCCTGCTGGAGCGACGAGATGGCACGTCTGACCTTGAGTCATTGTCTGGTTCTGCAACTGGGTTTCCTTCTTGATCAATCAAACCGAAAGTTTCGTCGACGCCCTCGGCATCATCTATATAATCTTCATCCTCGTCCTTACGCTGGCGTCCACTCGTGATCAAGAACACGCCAAAAAATGTGAGCAAGCATCCGCCCACAAACTTGGAGGCTTGCTCGGGAGTCGTCTTCTCAAAATCTCGGTAGAGAACCGCACTACCTATGATAACACAGAGCGTGAACATGACGAACTGAATGGGGATGACTTGTGTTGAGTTGAAACGTTGAAGAGCCCTGTTCACGTAACGAATTTGCATGATAGCCGTACTAAGAAGGATAAATAATAACAGATAGGTTAAAGGAGCAGTGAATGCTCGCCAAAGGGTAGATGACAGCATAGATGATACGCCTTTCGTGGCAAGGGCAGTATAGCCACCTGTGTGCCGCATTAGTCGTTTCGTCTATGGGCGTCCGGGGGCGGCAACTTACCAAAAAGGCCAACGAGACCTAAGTCAATCAGGCTCGTGTGTCGGCCATATCTTCCGCTTGCCCACATCAGGATCGCAATCAGGGATATTGTCACTCCGAGGTAAATCTCAAATGCCGTAGTCGTGATAGCGTCAAGGATATCACCAGGTTTGAGCTTGGTCTCTTCCGTTTTGGCGCTCAGCACGACAGTGACAACACCAGAGACGGCGATGACGACGCCCCAGAAGTCGCGCTGGCGGAACTTTTCATGAAACATGGCCGGCGCAATGATACAATTGGACACAAGAGCAACGACGCCGAGAGGCGAGACGATAGACGCCGGCGCGAAGCCGTAGGCCAGAAAGTTGCCCATCTCGCCCAGCGTGATGAGGATCTGGCCTAGCCACCAGTACGGCGACTTGAGGTAGTTGGAGGATGTGGTGTCCGTGGCGGCTGCGTCCTCGGGGACGGTCGTGGCGTCGGATAGACAGGACGCCGACAAGGGATCGGTTTCGGTGCTGGTATAAGCATATGAATGGCCGCTGGCCGCCCCGTTGCCGTTGGTATGGCCGTTGGCCGTGTCTGCGATGGCGCCATATGAGCCGGGCGACGGGTTGCCGCTCTGCGCACGAGCGAGAATTGCGCGGGCGCGCTGCTTGACGCGTGCGCGCTTCTTGTTGAGCTTGGTGTGCGCGTACCGTTGGACGTTGAGTGCCAGTGCAATGAGAATGTTGCCGACAATGGCGGTGATGATGCCGATGAGCGAGGACCATTTGCGTAGCGTGTCTTGGTCGTTGCCGGGGTTGTCGCCGCCGCCGCCGCCGCCCAGTATCGCGGTGGTGGCGGGCGAGGTCACCGGGCTGGAGAGAATACTGGTACTCGCCGTCATTGTCGCTGTGAATGTGGTCATGGGCAGCGACCTCAAGGGCATGGTGTACTGTTCGAGTGGCCGCTCAGCCAGTCGTGCCGCGCGGGAATGCGAAAGGTGGTGATGGCAGGTTGCCTGAATGTCTCGCGCTTCAGCTGCGGAGAGCAAAGCTGGCTGTCATCCGGAGCCGAAATAATACAAGTGGCCGAAATCAAACACTGGCGACTGCGCAGAGCATAGCGACAAAGCGGGAGAGTTGGCAGAAGCAGGTTAGCATCGTCCGCCGGAGGTGAAGTGATAAAAAACGACGTTCGCCGAGATTAGCCCTCTTACTGGAGCGTCATACTGTGGCACCTGGAACAAATGTACCGCGGTGTCTTGCGGGTGGCGCCACTGTTAACAACAGTGCGTGGCTTGAAAGAGCACGGCTGCTAGTGTACCTAGGTAAGTAGGTAACTAAAGCTTCCGTCTCGACATTTCACGTTTCAGCGCTACTTTGAGGCTGTCACCCGATATCAGCGCCAAAGATTAGCCGTGCACCGAGTTTTACAGGAAGAAGACATGACCTTGGTTCCGAACGATGTTAATCTGTTGCTTCTTACCTATACGTCAACAGAGTACGTAGACAGAAGAAACTCGGCTACAACGTCTGATAAAGTCCCACCCAAAAGAGGTACCCAAAGAATTACCTAACACTCGGTGCCTCACTCTGCGGTACCTACCCGGTACCTTTTGGCCAGCAAATGGTGCTAACGGCCACCAAGTAGGTTGACTACAAGGTTTAAAGACTTTCAGGGTCCTTCTGTAGTGGAATACTAAAAGTTGTAGTACCTGTCTACCTAGGTAGGTAGGCAATGGCTGTGCGCATTACAAGACCGCAAAGGTACACCTACTGTGGGGTGGCAAATTGTTAGTAACTTCCTCCTCCTTCTCCTCCTCACGCCGCCACCAAGGCTGAAAGTTACGAATCGCCACCTTTTCCCACCGCATGACGCGCGACAACGAGTAATGGGTTGTCTGATTTCAATATACAGCCCGCTCTGTCTCCCTGCTCGCAACCACTGAACTAAACCGCTCCCCATCTGCCATCGCCTTCGTTTCATCAATTACAGCCTCGTGACTGGTCAAAAATAAGTAAAACATGTCCGACTCACACACTCCCGACAACAACCCCAGTCCCGAGGACCTTGCCATCAGTGTTGGCGAAGTTGCCCTGTCCTCTTACAGCCCTGCGGCACTCACCCATCTTCCACAGCCCAGGCCTGCCGACTTGCCGCCAGATCTAGACTCGAGCGTCTTTACATTCCAAGATGCTTTTGAGGACCTACTCGCCGTCTCCCAGGGCAATTCTCTACCCGATATAAATGCGCGCTACCAGCACAGCCGTATGCTGCGTCAAATGTACCCGTACGGTGAGCCCACCTGGCTCTGGATAAACCGCTTGCAGTCACAGGGCCTCATCCGCCCGCCCCGAGGGTCCCATATTATTCGTGCGTCGCGAACAGGCTGGGACGAACTACAAAAAGGCTTAGAGCAAGGTGCGGAAGAGCTTTGGCGTGGCTTTGGAGACGATCCCAAAAGTCGAGATGCTGTTGCCGAGGCTGGAAACATTTTTCGAGAGCTTCTCAATCAGTTTTCTGGCGCCGTGAATTCGGCATCTAGTTCTCGTGATGAGCAGAGTAATAAAAATGGGGAGCCTGGCCATTTTGATGACCTCTATTCAGCAGTCAAATCAACCTATGCTGATGGCCAAGGTGCATGGGATGCCTTCAAAAAGACCATTAACGAGGACGCACTACGGCGCATCAACGAGTTTGAGCGTCAAATGGAGCACAAGTTTAAGGAAAACAAGCCTCCAGCCTCTACCGAGAAGACTTTCGACCAGAACGAAAAAGAAACGAGATCAGAGTGGGTAGACGTTTTCGGGTACAGGCACACAACTGTCAAGCGCAAAACATATGATGATAACGGCAAAGAGACCAGCTCTTTCACTTCCACCACCATCAGGCCAGCAGAGCATAATGGTGCAGATGCCGTTGATAATAGCCACAGCAACACAGACGCTGTCAATAAGAAGAACAAGGGCTGGTTCTGGTAGGCTGTATGGGTTCCTTCGTGTGGCTTGGGCACTTGATGTTTTCCTTGCATCTCCAAACATGATATTGCAGAGTCTTCACTATAATCTAAATGTACTTTCGAAATGACACCAAGTATAGCGCCAATGTAAATGCAGGTTCCCCAAGTGAGGCATGATGCAAACTAAACAATTACAATGATCATATCGCGCGCCTGCTAGCCTTAGTGGGCTCTAGACTCGGACTTCTTCATGCGTGTGTGATGCTTGCGTTCCACGAGCCTTTGCTGCATGTCGCCCTTTCGACCTCCGTCAGTTCCGTCACCCTTGAACTTGTCCATCAGAGGCTTCTTGTCGCGGCGGTCTCTTCCCTCGCTACGACCCCGGTCGCCACGGCCACGGCTGCCACGGCCACGGTCACCACCACGGTCCCGACTACCACCATGGTCCCGGTCGCCACCACGGTCACGGTCACCACCGCGACCGCGACTACTACCCCGACCACGGTCACCGCCGCGACCGCGACTACTACCGCGACTACGGTCACCATCACGACCCCGAGCACCGCCACGACCTGTGTCGTCGCTTCGGACTCTGCTATCATAACCGCCACGGCCGCCTCGCCCGCCACGGCCGCCCTGCCCGCCTCTGTCGCCTCTGCCACCCCTATCACCTCTTCTACCACGGACGTTGCCGTTGCCTTCCTCGCCATCATTATCCTTTTTGAAGCGTGGGTTGCCGCTGGAAGCATCTTCCCTGGCTTGCCTGGACTTTTCCTCGTTTATTCTCCTGCGCTGCACGACCTGCGCGTTTTCAATGGCGAATTCCGCCACCAGGCGCTTCTTCTTGCCCTCCTCCACGTCATCCATCTGGTGGCCGTTCAGGTACCGCATACCCATCAGGGCCCAGTGATGAGACACATACTCGATGAAGCCGTAACCACGACTCTTGCCAGCACCGGAGTCCTCATTGACTTTGGAGCCTTGAACGCTCTCAAAGACAATCTTGGCTTGGCGCACAATACCCTTTCCTTTCAACCTTCTCTGCTGTTCCTTCTCCTTGGCGTCTTTGCCGTCTCTTGCATTCTCTTCCTTAGATAGCGGCTCGCGAATGCCTGCCTTGACATCCTGCGCAAACCCGACGACAGCCTTACGGGCTAGCTCCTTGAGTTCTTTGGAGCCAACGTCTTTGGGAATATTTCGGAGGGCAATACGAGTAAGACTCATGTGCAGAGTTGGGTTGCTTTGGACGAGCTTCTTTCTTTGGACTGCACTGGCCTGGCGCATTCGGATTTCTGGGAGACTCAGCAGGTTGTAGATTGGTGAATTGGTACCGATGGAGCCTTCCGCAAGTAGATAAAGTCGTCTCTTGTCCTTTTCTCTTCTCTTGGCTAGCGAGTTTTCTGCTAAGTTACTGGCTTCGGCACGGTTTACGGCTTGCGCTATGCTGAGGAGACGACCATCAAGGGTGTATTTTCCGGTAGGATCCAAGTTGTCGTCATGAAGAATGGACTTTTTGCCTGAGGTGGCGGGTTCTTGTCCTCGCGGAGCACCTTTGATGCATGCCTTGGCATCCTCGCCCTCAAAGAAGCACACAAATGCAGTTCCGGCAGGGCGGTCTGTAGCTTTATCCATCACGACACGAGCGTAGCGAATGTTGCCGAAGCTGCTGAAGAAAGACTTGAGTTTTTCATCGTTGGTCGTAAACGGGAGGTTGCGGACAAAAATTGTTGTAGAGTTGTCAGACGAGTTGTTGCGCTCTTCCTTTCGTTTTGTTTCTTCTTCATCCTCTTCCTCATCGTCCTCATCCACCATATTTTGCATATGGTTCTTCATGAAATTTTCTAGATCAGCATTCAGTTGACCCTCCTCCTGATCTTGATCAGTGTCTTCATCGTCATCTTCAGCGCCTGACTCTTCTTCAGAGCTGGTTTGGTTGTCCTCGTCTTCCTCGTCATCCTCGGCATCACCCCGTTTTTCTTCATCTTCAGCTTGTTGTTGGTCCCATGTGCTCTTGTCAACGGCCCAATCTACAGCAAGAGTTCGGCCGTCGATTTCCTTGCCGTTGACACCTTCAAGGGCGTTCTCTGCGTTCTTTTTGCCTCGTAGGGTAACAAAACCAAACCCCTTGAGTTTTCCCTTATCTTTGGGTAAATCCGCAAACTTGATTCTGCCGTAGCTCCGGAATAAATGACCAAGCTGCTCAGAGTTGCGAATGCTCCAAGGCAAGTTTCGGACAATCAACTTTGGTGTCGGCTCAAATTCTGGCTTTCCAGGCTTCTGACGGCGTTCAGCGCCTTCAGCAAGTTCTTTTCTTTGCCTTGGCTCGGCAACTTCGACTCGAATACTTCTGCCTTCCCATTGCTTCTTGTCCAGAACAGTCTGCGCTTGCTTGGCATCATCAGCGTCCGCCAAAGTCACGAAACCGAAGCCACGAGACTCCTTCGTCTGCTGATCAACGACCACAGTTGCGTGCTTGACTGGGAAATATTCAGAAAAAAATTCCGCGAGGCTTTCGTTCGTCACGTTTGGGGGAAGTGATCGAACAAACAGAGATCTGCGCTCTTCCGTCCGGGCTTTCTTTGGCGAGGGAGCAGCAATAGTCTCGGAGTCTGGCATTGCGGCTAACGCCTCTTCAATTTCAGGCCGAAGCCTCTTCTTGCTGTCGTCGGCGACACTCATTTTGTCAAAGTCGTTGAGCAGGCGCAATAGCGAAGACTCTACCTGTACTTGGTGGCAGCTTGAGTTTAGCCGACATACAAAAAAAAAAGTCCAAGGCCCACTCAAGACCAAAACGGCATATCTTATCGCACGTGATAGAGTACATGTGCTTGTTAAGCAAAATAACGCTTTTCCGAAAAGGGAATACTGTTGACTTAAATCGTCAACACGCGTCCCCGCGCATCTATGTGGATGTGCCTTTTTTACATTGTGCATTACTACCTACTTAACTGTGTACCAATACACGAAAACTTCTCATTTTGGTATATTCTCGACATGCCTACAAGAACGTCAACAACGCGCTCCGCCCGGCCCTCTTCGGCTGGCGGCCGCAAACGCTCAAATTCGGCGTTAGGTGGGCGAGTCCCCTCCATCTCTCGTGCCTCACCAACCCCCGCCGCCGCGTTTGTCGACACACCGGACAATCGTTTGAGGCTGAAGATAAGCCCAGTATTTCGTGATGCTCAGCGCAACACTGCGACGCATCGAAAGCTGGCCGTCACCCTCCGAAAGATCCACGAGACATGCTGCTACGAGACACCCGACCAAATGACAACTGCCGATAGCGATTTCGACGAGAAGAATTTTAATACCGAGTTTATTCGATGTGTCTTAAAGGTTATGCCGGTCAAAAAAACTGAGGGAGTCGGAGAGAAATCAATCCGTTTTATTGGGTTCTACCTACGACACTCTAATGATAAAGACACCGAGCTTTTAGGCGACATGGCCAATGATGCTAGCAATATGCCAGAGACACCAAGCACACGATTGGTGTCGGAGTTGATGGATGCCGTTGTTCCTCTCATGATTGCAAAAGACAAATTTGTCCGCTACCGATCAACACAACTGCTGGCACAGATTGTCAACTCTCTGGACGCGCTTGATGATAACCTGTTTCAATCGCTCCGCCACGCGCTTTTGAAGAGAATTCGCGACAAGGAGGCTATGGTCCGTGTTCAGGCAGTTCTTGGGCTTGGTCGCCTCGCTGGCAACCAAAGCGATGGCTTTACAAACTCGGACGACAGTGATGCAGACCAGGAATCTGGCTTGCTTGAGAAGCTCCTCCAGGTCTTACAAAATGACCCGAGTGCTGATGTTCGTCGATCGCTACTGGTCAATCTCCCAATACTCCCGAATACTCTTCCATACTTGCTTGAGCGTGCTCGGGACCAAGACGCTGCGACGCGTAGGGCTGTCTACTCGCGCTTGCTTCCTGCACTCGGAGATTTTCGCCATTTGTCTCTCTCTATGCGAGAAAAGCTTCTGCGTTGGGGTCTTCGAGATAGAGACGAAAATGTTCGCAAAGCTGCGGGGAGGCTCTTCAGAGACCGATGGATTGAAGATTGTGCAGGGTCCGCCCAGCTGGAGAGTCCCACCCCCAGCTTCGATGGGTTGCTCGAGCTCCTTGAGAGAGTCGACGTTATCAACTCGGGCGTTGAGAACGGCGTCGCACTCGAAGCGATGTCTGGCTTCTGGGATGGCCGGCCTGATTACCGCGAGGCCGTCAACTTTGACGATGCATTCTGGGAAACCCTCAGCGCTGAATCTGCCTTCCTTGCTCGCAGCTTCAACGACTTTTGCCGAAAGGAGGGTAACGGAAAATACGAGTCGCTGGTCGAAGAGAAACTCCCCGAAGTCACCAAGGTTGCCTACTTCCTTGAGCGTTACCTAAATGCCCTGATAGAGACGCTGCGCCGAGCCGAACAAGACGCTGCTGAGGAGGAAGACGAAGCCGCGGTTGTGGAGCAAGAGTTTATCGCTGAACAGTTGCTTCATATCGCACTAACTCTTGACTATTCTGATGAAGTAGGTCGACGTAAGATGTTCACCTTGCTCCGCCAAGCTTTGGCTATTCCTGAACTGCCCGACGAGGTGACCAAGCTCACTATCGAGACGCTGCACTATATTTGTTCTCCTGATTCCTCAGGGGAGCGCGAATTCTGCAGTATTGTTCTTGAATCAGTTGCCGATGTTCACGACACCATTTTGGACGATCTTCCCACCGATGATGTGGACGATAGCTTCCATTCCGCTCGGTCCGAGGTCAGCAGCGTGAGTATGTCATCTGGTGGCAAAGGCCGTGTAAAGGAATTGAGTGAAGAAGATGCTCGTGCCAAGGCAGTTAAGGAGATTGTCATCAACATGAAGTGTCTACACATTGTTCAATGCATGCTCAGCCATATTTCGGGCAATCTCAAGGACAATGCTGACCTGGTCGCCATGCTTAACAACTTGGTTGTTCCGGCGGTGCGAAGCCACGAGGCACCTGTTCGGGAGCGTGGCCTGGTCTGCCTGGGTCTCTGTGCCCTGCAGGACCGCTCTCTGGCCGAAGAGAACTTGAACCTCTTCATTCACTTCTTTAGCAAGGGACACTCGGCCCTCCAAGTGACCTCGCTGCATATTCTCACTGATATTCTCAACGTCCACGGCGCGCATTTGTTCTCCTCCACACCGGCACTACTCAAGGTGTATGTCAAGGCTGTGAAAAGTGGCTCCAGGGCACCGGAAGTACAAGCCGCTGCTGTCATGGCAGTTTCTAAACTTCTGCTTGGCCGCGTTGTTAGCGATGAAGAGGCATGCCAGGAGCTCCTCAAGTCGCTTGTCGTCGCTTATTTTGACCCGACGTCAGCAGGAAACCAGACGGTCCGCCAGGCTCTGAACTACTTTTTACCCGTCTTTTGCTATTCTAGAGCGACCAACCAGGAGCTGATGCGCAGCATTGCTCTTCCTGCACTCCACACCCTGCTCAACGTGCGCGAAGGCTTAGAGGACGATGATGAAGCCGACATTGAGGAAGACATGGTCAGCATGCCCGCAATCGGCGCTTGCCTTGTTGACTGGACGGACCCTCGCAGGGTCTACAGCCCTACCAGTCTGCTTGAACCAGAGAAAAGGAGCATCAATGGTGATGTTCACCTAGATCTGGCTCTTGATATCATGGACAGATTGCACAGCAATGTTGCCAGTAAGTTGATACAGCATACCGAATAATCGCAGTTAATACTCATCATGTCAACAGAAGAAGAGAAGAAGCTCGTCGCTGGTCTCCTTGGCAAACTGTACATTTCGTCCGGCTCCTCCGAGGATAAGCTTCGGGAGACATACGGAGAGGTCTGCATTGCCTTAGAAGAGGGTGTCGTGGCAGACTCGCCGAGCAAGAATGCATTATACAAGATCCACGTTAGCCTGGGCAAGATTGTCAATGCGCTTGATGAGCAGCAGCCCCAACGAAGCAGCCGGAGTGCCTCGGCCATACCAGAGCCACGACACTCCGAGGGAAAGGCCACCTCCGAAGAGCCCGTCATCAAGGAAGAGGATGAGGACAGCGATAATACCGTTATTGCTAAGACTAGCCGAGCCACATCATCTCATCTTGAGGCTTCCGACGAGGAAAAGTGAAGAGTAGCGAAGCTTTCCATTTCTATCGCGTTTTTCCGTTTTGAGCCATGTTTCTGTATGTAGCGTTATGAGACCTTATTGGGTATATGGGTATATATCATGAGTCCTGGTGGCTGTGAGTATCTAATTGTTGTATATTCTTATTTTCAGGACGATGGGCCGGTCCATTTCGGTTACGAAAGTCTTATTAAAAGGGCGACGGAAGCGGTGGCAAAACCTCGTGTACTTCTTCGGCCAAATATGAATCTAATTACTTGATACTACGAAGCCTACCGAGTGCCCAACCAGAAAAGAGCCCCGCTCAATCCAATGTTGACCAGGAGGTGCTGCGCAATATTCCAGGCCATGGCGTACAAGTATTTGGGCGAAAAGACAGTCCAGATAAATAGGTGAGTACGCATAACTATGCACGCCGCCATGACGAACGCGACAGATGCCGTGGCAAAGATGCTAAGCAGCGCAGTATGCTGCCAAAAGACACCGCGCTCGCCTGCCCTGAACTTGTCAAGGAGTAGAGCGGTGGTGGCTGAGGTCCAGTACAATGGGCCGGCCCAGTTGCTGACGAAGGTCAGAATACCGACAGTGACGACGTTAAAGCCGGCGATGCCGTTATAGGCACTCGAGAGGTCGACGGAGGAGATGGCGTTGGAGCCGCCAGCTGCGAAGAAGCTCGCGTGCTGGAAAAGGATAGATGACGTGGTGATGTCGGCAAGCGTCATCTGTTTGGCGTCGATGGCGCAGTAAATTATGTGTGCGAGGAGAAATAGGGGTATATTGGCAGCGCGGGACTGTGTCATTGCGAAAATGGTGAGAAGCTCGTGCAAGAGACGTGCTAAACAAGTCAGTAAAACAGCAAAATATCACTGCAATACACGGGGCTTACTGGCTGATATTGCGTGTCGTCCGCCGGACACGCCTCGAACAATGGCAAAGGTAGAAAGCAAGCCAAGAACGATGAAGACGACGCGAGCGCGCCAAAGCAGCGACTGGCCCTCGAACTTGTCGTTGAGTGTCTTAACAAAACCGACGACGAGCTCCGGCGCATCGGCGGCTGTAAAGGCCAGCTTAAAGGTAAACGCCGAGGAAATGAGAACCGACGTGATAGAGGTGGCGGCGATGAAGGGTATGCTCTCGAGGCTGGGCAGCATCTGGAACCAAGTAATGGCGTACATGCTGATGATGGCCATCCATAGAGCAGCAGGGTATTGGTGGACGAAGAGCTTGACAATGTCCGGCTCGCCAGCAAATTTCTGGCCGGTCTGATTCCAGCTTCTCATGACGCGGACGGCAAGGAGAGCAACGACGTACCAGCTGCCTGAAGAAAACTTGCCGGAGCTGGTTGGCCTGTCAGTATGAATGAATTCAAGTCTGGGGAGGTGCATCGTACCGTCTAATGGCCTTGGCTCCGAGGAACGCGAGCCAGAGGGTAGCAGCCCAGTACCAAAAGTGATGCTCTTCCTCGACATAGCTACTCGCAAACATCATGGCACCATACAGTAATGAGATAAGCACGAGTGGAAATGTCGTTTGGGGCCTGTTGATACCCTGCACAAAGGGTGCAGAGGCCGCGGCGGTGACAGCCATGACAGCCAGTGCTAGTCCGAGATATAGGCGTGGCATGTCGTAATTAGAGGCCATGCTACTCATTAAATTCTGAGCCTTGCGGATCCATTGAGATGTGGAATCGAGCCACTCTTGGTCAAGTTTGTTTTCAGCACCGAGAGTAAGAGCCCGCTGCGTAATGAATTGCCACTCGCAGGCGAGCTCGCTGATGTCGGTACGCTTTAGTTGGCAAGGGTCAGTTGATGGAATAAGGTCAAAGAGCTCAGGTCCGAACGAGGCCGTGACAATGTTGAGAATCTGACGAGCATTACGGACAAGAATTTGGATCTTGTCTTTGGGGCTCGACCAAAATGGGAGAAACTCGGGGATGAAGGCGCCGAGATTATTCTTGGAGACTGGAAAACCTAGAAGGGCAGCAACGGTCGGGACAATATCCGACTGTTCCACTTCAGAGTAATAGTTAAACTCGTCCCTGGGGAGCGTCGGAGACTCATACGCACGCGCAATCGCCTTGAGCTTGGGGGACAGGAATAGCAGTGCAGGCGACGTCTCACCAGGCGAAGATGCGCCATGGTTTCCTGCGTCGTTCATTCCGTGATCACCGCACACTACCAGTAGAGTCGATTCGAGATGATTGTTGGATGACAGCGAGTCATAGATCGTACGAACTATAGTGTCCATCTCTTGTTGCTTCGGAACCATGTTCGAGCTGAAGAATTAGCATTGCGGCAAGTCGTATTAGGCGCACGCACTTACCTCCTAGGCCCTGATTTATGGCCAATGTGGTCGAGTCCGAGATAGTGCAGTACCATCAGTGACCAATCATCATTTTGCAGCTCTCCATTAATATGGCGAGTCACATTGTTGTCGACTTCTGTAAAGTCCTGCTAGTTGTCAACGTGCCATCCTTCGCAACAGCGGAAGCACAACCTACCGCAACGAAGAAGCTGGAAGTGCCGTCATGACGATCAAAAAAGTCAGGGAAAAGCTTTAACCACGTATCATCGCCATACATGAGCACCTTGCCAGTGTTCTTCGCTTTGAGCTGAGCCAACCAAGTGTCTTGTGCGGCGAGAGCTGAAGACTCGTCTCCTTCATCGATATTGAGAATGAGGTCTACAAAAGACGGGATTGAGCCAGTAGTGATTGCTTTCAATCTAGGCATCGTCACTGTTGGCGAGCGGGCATATGCTGTGAATGGAATAGCTGCGCCATCGCGAATAAGGCTGTGCGAATGTAAGCTGAAGCGTCATTCCGAACGCAACTGTTGCTGACCTTTGCGTATACTTAAAACCGGACCCTTGGGAGTACACAAAGTCGCTGGTAGAAATGTCAGTATATGCGGGAAGAGAATATCCCGTGCGTATGTGTCACACCTGCGCAGTGCATCGATCACCACGAAGACAAGCTTGTCAAATGGTGCCTGAGGCGGTGGTCCAGACTCGAGCACTTCAAATTCAGACAAGCCTGGCAGGAACGGCTTATATGGAAAGAATCCGGTAGCAAATATGAGAATAGATACTGGGATCAGGAGATTGGCGATAGCTAGCAGCAAGGTCGTAAAGGACCACCCTGCTGGAATGGCGCTATTAGGGGCCATAGCGAGAGTGAGGGAGTGAGTGACGTGAGGGAGCGTGAGGGATGGTGAGGCGCGTTGGGTGGGTGGGAATAAAGGGACTAGGAAATGCACGCATTGCAGTATGCTATGTGCAGTACTACGCGGCCCGTGAGCGACTCGAGCGGTTAGAAGATAAACACGGTTCTTGTGCCTTTTGTGATGTAGACGGAGAGATGTTGTTTTGCGATGCGACTCCCAAGGGGCGACCGTGACGCTAGCTACAGCAGCGCCTCCACAAAGGCTTCTGAATAACTGATGTTAAACGAGGGACGACACAGGTTAATTTCTCGTTTGACTCGACCTAATTCAGCTTTCAGAGTGTATCTATCCATAAGAATATTGTGGTTTTCTCATTATTCCACTTGTTTGCAGTGGGTATCTGCCTGAATACACTGCGGTTAGAAGAATCATCATGGCGAGAACAGATGCGCGTCCTACTTCATATGCAGAAACAATAATTCTAAAAAGACTACAAAATGGAACCAATAACAAAATGCCCAATGAAACTCCAACATGTTAAATTTACGCCTTCTTCTTGTTCTTTTTGGCCTTGACCCTGTCGCTGTACTTGGGGAACACGATAGAGGCCTTCTTTGGCTTTCGCTTGTCGATTCGCTTCCGACCCATGCGGTTTGATACTGTGCTTTTATTATCGACGTCCATAACTGGGAAAGTGTTAGTCGTACTTGCTTGCGATGCGATCGTTTGACTGGCGACATACCCGTGGCGTCACCAGCTTCGGCGGCTTCGGTCTCGACAAGGTTGGTGTGTTCTGTTTGCGGCTCAGTTAGTCTTCTTGTATTGCGAGAAAAGTCTCCGCCGCCTTTTCGACCTTACCCTCCATATTCGCATCCGACGTATCAGGCTTGGGTTGGTTGGCCACTTCCAGCAGCTTGGCCGACAGGCGCTCGGCGCGAGAAGTCTCGGCAGGGCCAAAGACAGTAGCCGCCAAGCGCCTGTTGTTCGCTTTGCGGGTACTTGAACGAGAGCTCTTGGCCATTATGTTTGATTTACTTTCTGGTCTTGTTTGGCGTGTTTGACGTGTTAGAAAAGCAGCCTCGACTCGATCCGTTCAATCGCTCCCCGTTTGTATGAAGTCGAGAAAAAAACCTGATAGCAACTTTTATGGAGGGGCCGATAAGGAAATGACCTGTGTGGCGCGGGCGCTCAAATAGGATTGTGGCTAGTGCAGCTTGCCTGTGACTTTGCCAGTGCAGTTCCACATGATCGCTGTAGCAGATTTCCACAACAGCATGATTCGAACCTCTCATGCTTCAAGTCTCCCATCGTCAAGTCAGCACGGTGATGTGGCAAGTATTTCGCTAGTACCTTGCTTCACTACGTACACTTGCACTCTTCACCTTTGTTAGCTTCCTCACCTCAGACTTACGTCAGTTTCCCTTCACTTCTCATACCTTCAACCCGCGCGCGCTATCGGGAGGAACGCACGCTGAACGAGTCGCATCACCGCCCGCCCAAATCTGCTCCTTCTCCGTCGCCAGAAAATTCCGATCGCCAAACCGTCGACGTTCATCGCTGCTCGAACCAATAGGCGAAAGCCTTATTGTCCCAGCACGACCGCGAAACGACTTTCATACTGCAAGACCCGCACGTCGAGGTTGAGGTCGAGGCAGGGCTTGCGCCTGTCTGGTGTGAAAGCCGCCCGCACTTGGCCAGGCGCTCCGTCATAGCCACGTCCAACCATGGCGTCGTCAATCGGGGTGCCGAGGCACGAGATGCTGTCTTTGATACGCGAGGTGCAGAGCAACCAACTGTTCAACCGTCAACTGTCGTCGATCTGCCAAGTCAACGGTCTCAAGAGCACCGGCGTCAAGGCAGATTTACAAAGACGCATCATTACCCGTGAGCCCTCGCCGCCAGCTAGTGAATATCCTTTGATCGCGTTTACTAACAACATATCTGCCTTAGTTATCCAAGAATCATCGGTCGACCCTTCTCGCTTTGCCCAGGTGAAACAGAGCGTAACTAACGCTTACGCCCAACGAAATGGAACTGCGACAACTACGACCACAACCGCACCCATAACCCCGATCAAGTCTCGAGCTACCTCGTCCGCCGCTCCTAATGTGCACTTCTCGCTTCCGATGCCCTACGGCAATGGTGGTTCTGGCATGGTGCAAGGATTTGGGGCACCGCGCAACAATATCTTGACGACTCCCGCTCTCGCGTTCAAGTCTAGCCCATTTTACCTGGAAAAGACTATCATCGGCGAGGTTCGGATATGTGAAGGTTGGTATGCGATGTGATATTGTTTCTGCGGAAGTGACTGACAAATTTTAGCTATGGCCCAACATCGAAATACGATAACGGTTCACATGAGTGTAAATAACCATCCTGCGCTGCAGCAATGCCTCGCCGATACTTCGTACAGAGTTTTACTCTTTTGTGCGGGAGAGGCAATCGGGACACAGGATATCGCATTTCCTCACCAATCCGAGATTAGGGTGAACGGAAGTGAGGTCAAGGCGAACCTGCGCGGGTTAAAGAACAAACCGGGGTCTACTAGACCGGTTGACATAACTCATGCGCTGAGGCTGAAGCCGCCTAATTATCTAAACACAATAGATTTCACATACGCGTTAACGACAAAGGTGGGCTTACTCGACATCCTTTTGTCGCTCCCCTGCTAACTGTTCAGAAATTCTATTTAATAGCAAACCTTTGTCAAGTATACACTGTTGCGGAATTGGCGAAGGGCATCTCCACGAGAAGGCGCATCCCGAAAGATTCCGTGATTGCCGAGCGTAAGTTATTTGCTCAGTTTCCACGCGCCAGTTCTAATAGCTGTTCTAGTAAACCAAAAGGCTCAGGATCCTGACGTTGTAGCGACGTCGTCAGTCTTGTCACTGAAATGTCCGCTATCGTACATGAGGCTAGATGTGCCTTGTCGTGGCATGAGCTGTTCTCACATTCAGTGCTTTGATGCGACATCATACTTACAGCTCCAAGAGCAAGGCCCGCAATGGCTCTGTCCGATATGCAACAAATCAACACCGTATGACCAACTAGCTGTTGACGAGTAAGTTGTCCTGGAGACTGTCATCACCTCACCTTTGCTAATAATGGAGTCAGGTATGTCCAGGATATCCTAGACAATACACCCAAAGCTTTGGAGGGTGTTACTATTGAGCCTAACGGGCGATGGCTCCTCAAAGCTGAAGAGCCAGAGAGCAATAATTTTCCATCCGAAGAGTTTTTTTACGACGATGACGACGACGCTATTGAGATATCAGAAATCAACACCATTCCCGCTCGGCCCGCAGATAAGCTGCCCACTCCCAACACTCCATCTCGGCAGAACGGAGGAGGCATGAAGCGACCTGCGCCAACAGTCATTGACCTGACGCTATCGTCGGATGATGAGGATGATGCACCAATCGAGCGACCATTTAAACGACAGAGCACGGTGGCGAATGGCTACCATGGACCAAGCAGCTTGGCTTTCCCAAGCCTTGGGTCGCCAGAGCTTCCGCACCTTTAATGTCATTGTTACGAGGGAGGCAAAATGTATCATATTTCAATCATATTCATGGCGTACGGGTAGCAAGTATACCAAAACATTTCTTTCTTAAAGGTAGATGGCATGGAATGACGGCTGGGAGTGTATGGGAAAGGATACCTTATTGATGATGCCAACTTGGTAATTTTACTTCTAACACAATACTGCTTCTTACTTTCTGTTTGGTGCATCTCGTGTAGGCAGCAACATGGTACATGAAGGAGAGGTGACGCTATTAAGCTACCTAGACAGGTCTGACTAAACACGACGCATGTGCGATGCTCCTCTTTCCGCCACCTAGTAACAGGCATTACATATTGCTTTCAATCAATAGATCCGCACGCTGAATATATAATTCAGCCCAAAGGCTGTTTGTACCATGTTTCTGCAGTGGCCATGTAGTTGTTCTGGTCGCAATGGCGCTCCGTGCCCCGCAATGTACCTTACCTAGAGCTGTACAGATGGTACAGATGGTAGATCTAGGCCAGGGTACAAACTACTTGTAGGACCACTCACCAACAGCTTCCTTCAACATCAACTAACCCTCACGGCCGCGACCCGAATAGCGCATCCCATTACCTCGACCGGTTTCTTCACCTCCGAACAGCCCACCAAACCTTTGACACGCGGCCGAAACACGGCCGCCGCGTTGCGCGCCCGTCCCACACCATGTCTCTCGAGCCGGTGATGCCCCCTTACAACGCCTCGGACCCGTCCGCCAGCTTCCTCAGCTCGTCATGCCTCGACTTTTTGCTCATTGAGCTCGTGCCGCTGGCGTACCGCGTGACGCAGGAGCGCGACGGTGACGCGGCCCGGTTAGCCGAGGAGAAGAAGAGCACGAGAAGCGCCACTGCCGATGACGACGACGATGATGCTCTACCTGACGCGGATGAGCCGCCCCAGAGAGCAAGCTCGACAGCGGCGGGCAGCACGGGGCACCCGAGACGCTTCGACGACGAGGACGAGGAACTAGACGCGGTGCATTACCGGCTGGAGTCCCAGGGATACCGTGTCGGACAAGGTCTTGTAGAGAGGTACGCGACGAAGACTACTTTGAAGCAAAATCCTGCGAGAATTCACCCGATCTCCTACCGTCCTACGGGAAGCATTCGCGTATCTTTAAGGATGAGGAAAGGATTGGGGAGGGGAAGCGGCTTTTCGGAACGGACGCTGACTGGCAAACAATTAGATTCTCTCGCGATCGCCCTCGCTTAAACGACACGCTCGACGTGATCAAATTCCTCTGCAAGGATCTATGGTCGTTGGTGTTTGGCAAGAATATAGACAATCTCAAGACCAATCACAGAGTAAGCTCTGCGCCGTGTCTCCTGTCCATCTGGCTGGGGCGTAAGCTAACAATAACAAAGGGCGTTTACGTACTGACGGACAACGTCTTCCGTCCATTTTCGCGGATGAGCACTGTGGCGGGTGGCCAGGCCGTGGTGCGGGCACAACCGTTCCTGTGGTTCCCGTGCGGAATCGTCCGGGGGGCGCTGGCCGCACTCGGAATCAACGCTTCGGTGCAGGCCGAAATCAATGAGCTCCCCGGGGCGGTATTCCAGATCAAGACGCTTCCCGTAAAGACATGATAGACACATTACCACGAAAATCAGAGGATTTGTTTCCAATTTACCAGAGAGAGCTACACAATGCCAACAAAAGGCAATTTATATATAACGAATCGGCCAACCAAGCCTCTGAGCAGCCACTGTTTATTTTCCTCCGCATCCAATCAGGCCCCCCACCGGTGTCGGTTCTGCTCGTTGAGTCGTGCACTTGTTGCTCAGGATGCTACACGGATCCCTGTGATTGGATGATGCTGCTATATGGGAGAAGGCTTGGGGTCTGGACGAGCTCAGTGGCTAGGCCTAGAACAAACACTTCTTACAGCCTATCAAAGAGAGAGTAAATAATCAGTATTCCTGGCCGTATGAATAATATATTACGCATAGCTTCACCGCTATCGTGCTTCAAGACAAGCTACTGGCTTCCATCTCATCCGGTCTAGATTCGGAAACGCATTGTGCTCTTACTTGTAATATGAAGGGTTGATTTACTTTTGGGGAGGGTTGTGGGCAAACTGGACACCCTTGGAGATGTTGCCCTTGAGACCCTCAATGGCCTTTGCCAGTAGGGCCGTTTCCTGGTCGGTGATGCCCTCCAATGGGTTGTTGGCCTTCTCGGCACCGTTGGGCTACAGATTGTCAGCCTGTTATAAGATAGGGGTCGAGCCAATCAACTTACGCCGAGCTCAATGGGGACAGAGAAAAAGTCACAGCCGGTGGCCTTGGCTATGGCCTCACCGCCAGGAACACCGGGCAGATAGACGTAGCTAGGCTCAACGAGACCCTTCTCGCCCTTGACGGCTCTCAGAACCTTTTCGGCGAAACTGGGTGAAATGGTTAGCGAAGTCGTGCATAGGTGTGTAAAGCAAACTTGCCGGAAACCGGCGTATGCCATCGAGAGAGTAGCAGAGCCAGCACCGTCCTTGGCCTTGACGACCTCGTCACCACCAAACTGGACGCGGTTGACAAGAGCGTCGTACTTGTCGGCGGGGATGTTGACGGAAGGAGAAGCCTTGCTGAAAAGGGGAACAATGGTCTCGCCAGAGTGTCCACCAATGACGGGAATGGTGAGCTTCTGGGGTTGTTTCTCGCCAATAATCTCGGCAACAAAAGTCTCGGCACGGACAATGTCGAGGGTGGTGACACCAAAGAGGCGCTGGGGGTTGAAAACGCCCTTCGCCTTGAGAATCTCAGCCGAGATGGGGACAGTCGAGTTAACGGGGTTGGAGATGACGAGAATAAAGGCCTTGGGGGCAACTTCGGCAGCAACCTCGATGAGGCCCTTGACGATGCCGGCATTGATGTTGAAGAGGTCATCACGGGTCATACCAGGCTTGCCTAGCAATTGTTAGGACAGCCATCGTCGCGAGGCATTTTGGACTTGCGCCGAGCGCATTGGGTTCAGAGCTACGTACGGGGAATTCCAGCGGGGATGACGATAATGTCAGCGTCCTTGAAAGCAGCCCTTGCGCCATCGTTGGCGGGCAGGTAGCCGGTGAGCTTCTGTTTGCTCATGTGATTAGTACGGAGAATCGGCCCTCGCGGTAGCGGTTCGATTTCAGCTTACAGCCGGGGAGGAGATGTGAGAAAGGTCGGCGGCAACACCGGGAGTGTTGACGACATCGTAGAGAGCGAGCTCGTCGATGAGGGCGCTGGTCTTCAAAAGAAGAGAAAGAGGCTAGAAAGAAGCCGCATTAGTATCTAGGCGGACTGGGGTAAACGGCCGAGACGGGTCAACTCAAGTCTTACCTGGCCAATGCCACCAGAGGCACCAGCAACAACTGCGCAAGCAATTGATTAGCATCGGACGAGTAGAGAATGGCCCCAAAACCGATGGCGAAGACTTCAAGCCAGCATCCTGACAAAAATGCCGAGACAAGGCCAATGCGGGGTTTACTCAGAAACTTACCGGCTTTGACCATTGTGAAAGAAAGAGAAGCTTTGAGATGCGAGGAATAAAGCGAGCACCAGAGATATGCTGGGGCTCAAACTATGGATGAAGCTTGAGGACTCGGGGGGCAAATCCAAAAAAAAAAAAATTGGGATGGAGGAAGAAGGGAGCAGGTTGAGCGATGAGAACGGAAGAAAGGTAAGAAGCCGCAAGACGGCACTGGGCAGGAGCTTGTGAAACCAGGCATAGGCGATTGGACCAAGCAGAGAGGGGTGCCCGGAGGGGTTAGGAAGGAGGGGCAGAGCAGCTATTATTACGGCAACCACACCAGCAGAGAGGGGCAGGGAATGACGAATGACGCTGGAGCCCCTCAGCCCCTTGTCAGTTGTCCACTGAACAATAGACTCTATCACAGGTACCTTATTAATTAATAAATCTGCAATAAAGTCGAGCTATGTTTTCTCTTGTTTTGTACGTGTCAAAAATGGAGACTCTGCAGCACAAACTGACCTTGCAGTGACCTGAGGCAAATAGGTGCCAGCACTGTTATCCCTAGGCCGGAGCAACTCTCCCAATCTACACGGCCCTCACGAAATTTTCCCTTCATCAAATATGCGCCGCCCTTGCTGCAAGAGCACCCAGCGTTACAAGACTCCAAAACTTTCCGGCATATTGCGCGCCATCTTCCCCGTATTGTTCCGAGCGGCAATACAAAGCTTGTGACGAGACCTCGGGAGGTGGTGGCAGTAGTAGCCGCGGGGCCCCGCAAATCTACGGCGTTTGGACCTGGAACCCGGCAGCAGGTAAGCAACCAGCTTCCGGCTGATTATCGATGGAGGCTGGCTCTTTGGTACTCAATGTGCTTTTGCGACTACGCGATGTCGTCATTGTATCGTCTGATCTTCATTGAAGTAAAAACGACCCGATAGAGAAACCGCAAATGCATGCCAACGTATTAGTTCTCACGTCTCACGTCGTCCTGAAAGCACAACTTTATCCTCTCCCTTTGCGACAGCTCAGTTGGTGAAAGATTCATCACGCACAACCGTCGCGCAGTCTCCTCATAGAGTACGAATTCAAGGTTTGGCGCCGTCACGACGGCCCCAAGTGTATTTCAACTAGAGAAACAGCTCATATCAAATGCCAACTCCAGCCAATGACAAAAGGAACCACCTTTTGATGCTCCTCATCTGGATTGCATCGACTACCGTGTCGCGAGCTACCTGGCAACCGTTTTTCGATTTCGCCTAGGCTGCCGCAATCCCATCGGGTCTCTTCAAATGCAAGAGTGTTCCATTCTCCAGGAAATGTTGTTTCGTTGTCCCTGCCACATCTACCAATCCGCATCGAACTGCACTTTATATAATTCGCTCAAGAGGACTCGGCAGCCTTCTGGGCCTTCTTGCCACGGAGCTTAGGCTCAGGGGCCTCCTTGACGGGGCGCTGGGAGCGGCGGATAGCAGAGACACGCTCGACAGCGTACTGGCGGAGGTCGGCGCGGTAGCCAGTCTTAGTGGCCTGGTTGGCAACAGACTTATAGATCCTATATTCGCGTAAGCTGATTAGTACGGCCTTCTTGAAGAAATATCCGCGCTAGGTCGCTAGCGCATCCGTCCTCTAGAAGTTACACGCTGGTACTTACTTGCGGGTGGACTTGGCACCAGAGATCTTGGTCTGGGAGAAAGCCTTGGCGGGCTTGGTCGAGTTCTTGATGGTCTTGCTCAGAATGGTAAGACCGCCCTTCTCGCCGGGGACAACGCCGATGGCCTGGACAATCGCGGTTTAGTATCATGCTCGAGTTTCGAAGTCGTGTATGTAGCGGTCGTAATACCTTGTCATTGACGAAACCCGCGTGCTGTGAGCTTGAGTTAGCGAAATAGTCCCGATCGCTAATTTTGACATCGTGATCCGAGAATCGGGAGCGCGAACCTTGCGGGTGTTCTTGTTGGTCAGATTGAGAGGATCAGAGGAGAACTGAGCACCACCATTGTGACGGCTCTTGGAGAGGAAGCAGTGGTTGTCGCCTATTCAATATTAACATTTAGCCTCCAACCACTCTGCCATGTCGATCGGCGCCACAAGCCGAGCTCGTCACTCGGGAGGGCAACAAAACGTACGGACAATAGCCCAGATGATGTCCGAAGACACGTTGTTGAGCGCGGGGGCAGACATTTTGGCGGAATTGACAGATGAGGCGATAATCAAACGACAGCTATCAGGGAGGCGAGGCCAAAGGAAAGGATTCGGCCGCCTTAGTAAAACACCAAAGCCACAATGTGTGGGCTCGCTTAATTGCCTGGTAGTGGTTAGCGCCCTTTGAGCTCCATTTGGATAGATACATATCAGCGATAGCTGAACGATACCGACTTAACAGGGTAAGCTCCACAGCTAGGTGACAAAGGCGCAGCACCAGCGCACGTCAGCCGGAAACGGTTTGAGACAGCAACCCGAGGCCTCCTCCTTGTCTGGTCATAATCAACTACTTGTTCAGTACCTCGCATCGACGCGGCTTATCATTGCGCGTAACGGGAGCGCATCGCCGAGAACCTCCTTCAGCAGACGAGACCGTTTCTGCCTGCCCTATTATACTCTGCGCGCAATAGTCGCGTTTAATCAACCCCGCCGCTAACGACCAAGACTGGTGCTTCTTAGCCTCCCGACATAATCGATTTCCACGAACCGTCAAAATATTCACACAATTCCGAATATACATTACGCCGCACGCCATTACTTTTTCCCATTCTCTGTCCATCGACAGCTACTTTGTCGTAATCGTCATATAATCACGACGTACGTCGAGAGACCGCCATGTTTATCCTTTTCAGCATCTCTCTCTTCTTCATCGTCACTGCGACCGCCTTGTTCTTCACACGATCCTACTGGTTACGCTACCTGCCCGACGTCAGCACCCACCTGCCCTCAGCCGACTACCTATACTCGCGGCTGCCCTCGACCTTTGCGGGCGACATCGAGGCCGGTCTGTCGAGCAGTACCTTTGATCTCAGCGGCAATGTGGATGCAGGCGACAGTCGCGCTGGCTTGGACGATACCAGCAAGGCGGAGGTTCTCAAGATTATGAAGAAGCGCCGGCTGAACTTTGACAAGGCCAGAAAGGTATACATGGAAAGTCGCTTCAAGGCCAACGGCATCGGTCCCGACGGGCTACCGAGAGACCCAAAGTTTGTCAGTTTCTCTTGAGCTGTAATCGGAGCGATTTGATGGGCATAATAGGCTGAGTTTTATTCCTTCGCGTTTTTCTAGTTCCTTCACTGGTTGTTTCGGTATTGGTACCCTTGTCATCACATAGCACGCACGGTCTTTTTTTTTTGCGAAGCGTTCAATCAATGTACTTTTATAAATCTCTAATATTTTGTGACGGCAATGTTCATTTGACTGATAACTAGATGAGCAATCCAGCAACGATTTGTGTATACTTACTCTGTGTCTGTTTAGCGTAGGGAGACATGGAGCAGCACCAACCGCCTTTCAAGTGATAAGCGATTTTGGCAAGCCCAGGCTCTATATGAGTAAAAAGCAAAGTACGATTTTGCCTGGTACACGCGCGCGCAGATAACGAGTCAATTCAGGACAAAATACCGGCGATTGCTGTCATCTTACAACGCTTCTACCACGGCATTAATACATAATCTAGACTTGCGTCATAAATCTAATGTCGCTTTGAACTGAAAGTCGAACTGTCGGAATGCATGGGGTTGACGTTGCAGGACTCGTCCACAGACGATGACGGGCTTGTAGCCTGTAACTAACTAGGTACATACCTTATTAGTACCTTTAGCCTCCACCATATCTAATAAAGAGACTACCTGTCTGTACATGGACGGCTCTGATGGGGACGATCGCGTGATGCTCAGGTTTTTATTAGCGTGAGTCATAGGTAGTAGGTAACTTTCGCGGATCGTTTATCCGAGATCGTGGTTGTGATGACAGTCAAATCAATATTCACACTCAAACTTTCTATTTAAAGATGTACTTTCAATTCCTTTACTACCTCCCTACCTGTGAGCTAGCGCCTGAGGCACTTGAACTCCAAATTGAGTTAGTACTTAGGTAGGTACGTAAACGAGCTTTTTTGCTACGATATTCCGACAAAGAAATGATGTACGTTTCCCGACAGTCTTAGAACACAAGGTGAATGTATGTACATACTAACGTATTCCATGATTGTGGTCTTGCGCATCGCAAGGGGGCGCCGCCACTTGTCGAATGACCTAGGTACCTACCTATGTACCTAACTACCTAGGTAGGTACCAGTATTAGCCCACCAATGCAATCTGGGAAGCGTCTCGTTAGCTGTCTGATGGATGCATGTTGCCTGCATTTTGTTGGACCCGGGAGATGTAAATCCTCAGCCGCAATCACCACACCAGTGTCTTCGCATGCACACTGCACACGATGAGGTCAAGTAATTCTATCCGTACACTTGGTCACGTTATTTGTGGTCCAATGAAGCCGACAAGAGGTCCCTTGCCTGCCAGGGGTTGGCTATCATTAGCGGATTTGCGGCTGCCGGAGCACCAGCTGGAAAGATGGGGTGCCAAACTTGCGGCCCCCACAAGCCGTCAGCATACACTGGAAACATCGACTCGAAATTTTGAAACCTTCACACCGAGCGGTTGCTCGTCGCCGTATGACATCTGCTGTAGGCTAGAGAGTCGGAAAATTGGGACAACCGTTGCTTGAATCAATACGGATAGATACCTCCGAGCTATCGAAAACATTTCATAGGAAACGCAGGTTCCTGAGGGCCGGTTATGTAGAGTTGGTGATGGCTTCGAAAACGGCCTGGACGTTATCGGAGGCTAGGTTCTTATCAGTGTATCACATGGCTGTCAAATGGCGGACACGTTCATCGCATGTTTCTGGGCCGCATATTCATTTATTAATGATTATAATTACTCCTTGTCTTATAGGAGCACATGCCAGTATGGATGTAAGTAAACTGAAATACGCCGTATGTGACTACTTGTCAGCACCACGTCGTCTAGACTACTTCGTAGTTGTGTGTTGCTTATGGTCATATTTGTATCATTAAATTTATGCATCTGAACTGCATGTCGCGCGAATAACTGCAGTGCAGTGCTGTGTCATGAGCACAGCAGGCTCCGCCGCTGATCCGTGATATGATACTTGAATTCTGCCGCTTTTTCTTGTAGCTGCCTATTCTTAGTTACTATATTCCTTATTTTTCGTGTCTTATTCCTTTTTTATTTTCTATCCACCTTGTTTTCCCAACCAGTTGTGAGTACGTTTTTATCACTCTCGCTTCTTTGAACCGAGGGCTTAAAGTACCTACTAATCTGAAGGGTTTATCATTAGCGTCGTCTCCTGGTGGCAGCCTTGGTTTGTGCTGTGGCCAGCCGGGAGAGAATCATCCACCACAAGTTCCTAAGTACCTGTGTGTAACCCCACACCCTTCGACCACCACGCTGGACTTCAACCACGCCCCCTCCCCGCCCCCCGTGGATGCACTATGCACTGTCCTTTTTGTTCCCGCCAGCCGCTAAAAAAGAAACAGAGCAGAGACCTTTTTCCCCACCCACAAGCGGCACACACCACCGGAAGCTTGCACACAGCGCCAACAGGGGGCCCCATATTATCACCCCCCGGGCGCTAGCTTGCTACCAGGTTAGTACTAAGGTACTAAGGTACCTAGCCCACCACCTCCAGCGAGCGCCTTGCATTTGCCTTTTTTCTCCTCTTAACCAACTGCCTGTTACTCCCTCTTTTTTTCCTTCACTTATCCTCCTGCATCTCATCAATTCATTCACCATAGCCATCAACTCCTCGATTGACGGCATAGGCGCAACGGTGCTTCAGGCGGCGTCTCTCCTTTCCTTACGATAGCGCCGTGTTCTTTGCCTTCTCGTCTGCCTGCCTGGGTTTTTTCTTCTCCTGCGCCAGACGCTTGCTTCGTCGTCGCGCCAGCCCACCGCCGCGTCATCTCTCAACGTCCGCAGCGCTTTCGGTCTGCCCATCTCCGTGGCCGGCTGATTTTTTCTCGCTCATCTGCGCGGCCAACAATCCTGATTTTTTGATACCCCCACGCGACCGAACTCTTCGACAACTACATAACCCTACCGCTCAAAGCCGATTCTGTCGGATTGACACAGCTACTGTTTCAGCCGACCCAAAAGTCACCTCACCCCAATGTATTCCCATCGCGGCATGGGGGCTGTTCCCCCAAGCAACACGTCTCGTCTCAACGAGCTTCTCGAGCAAATTCGTGCCGAGTTTGATACCCAAATGCGACAGAGCGAAGGCTTTGAGCATCAGAGTATGTACTCGGCCGGCCACAGCCGCGAGCGTCTGTCCAACTTCATAACCCCCCTACTAACTTTGCGCGTTTGTGGAATTAGTCTCTGCTCAGGTCAGCGAAATGCAGCTTGTTCGAGAAAAGGTTTACAGCATGGAGCAGACGCACATGACTTTGAAGCAAAAGTTTGTCTTACTCCCCCGACGGCTATAGCCCTCGCCAGCCCATCTCCAACACTCCCAACTTATCAATCTCTTGCAGGTACGAGGAAGAAATCGCCATGCTCCGCCACCAACTCGAGGCCGCTCGCAAAGGTGGCCCTGCCCCTGGTATGCCCGGTCCTCCCCAGCACGCCGGCCCTTCTCAACCACCTTCCATTACTCCCGGCAACGGACTCTTCAGTGGTATCATGGCCGGTGGTAACCAGCAAGGCCTAGCTCCTCCCCAGCAGCATGGCCCTCCTCAGGAGCAGATGGGGCCTCAGCACCAAATGGGTCAAGGTCCTCCTGGTCTTCCCGGCCCTCCTCACCCCAACGCCCAGCAGCCACCGTACCAACAGGGCTACCCCCAAGGCCCTCCGGCCCCAAACGGCATTGGCCCCCAGCCCCCTCAGGCCACCGCTTCTCCAGGCCCTAGAGGCGGTCGTGGCGTTGGCCGGCCCCCGAACGCCGTTGGCCCTGCCACTCCGCAGATCAACACTCCGGCGCCGTATCCTGCTAATGCTTCGCCGCAAGTTAGCCACCCTACCCCCGACCACCGCCTCGGCCCGCGTCCTCCTCCGGTGGGGAATTCCCTTGGTGACCTCGAGGTCGATTCTGTTGCTCCTCACAACAAGAAGACTGGCAATGATTGGTACGCCATCTTCAACCCTCAAGTTCAGCGCATTCTTGACGTCGACCTGGTCCACTCTCTCACCCACGAGAGTGTTGTCTGTTGCGTGAGATTTAGCCATGACGGCAAATACATTGCCACTGGCTGCAATCGCTCTGCGCAAATCTTTGATGTCCAGACAGGTGAGAAGATCCTCACCCTTGAGGACCATGGTGCCCAAGACATGACTGCCGATCTGTACATCCGTAGCGTCTGCTTCAGCCCTGATGGCCGCTATCTTGCCACTGGTGCTGAAGATAAGCTCATCCGAGTAAGCTATCCCTCAAATTATCCATGTGGACAATCCGTGCTAACACTGTACTAGGTCTGGGACATCCAGAATCGCACTATCCGCAACCACTTCTCGGGCCACGAGCAGGACATATATTCCCTCGACTTTGCCCGCGATGGCCGCACCATTGCATCCGGCTCTGGCGACCGGACCGTTCGACTCTGGGATATCGAGTCTGGTACCAATACTTTGACCCTCACTATCGAGGATGGCGTCACAACTGTGGCCATTTCTCCTGACACCCAGTATGTCGCTGCTGGTTCGCTCGATAAGAGCGTTCGCGTCTGGGACATCCACTCCGGTTTCTTAGTGGAACGCCTCGAGGGCCCAGACGGACATAAGGACTCTGTCTACTCCGTGGCGTTCTCGCCAAACGGAAAGGATCTCGTCTCTGGTTCTCTGGACCGAACCATCAAGATGTGGGAGCTCAATGGCCCTCGCGGCGGTCCCAATGCTCAGCCGAAAGGTGGAAAGTGCGTGAAGACTTTCGAGGGTCACCGCGACTTCGTCCTTTCCGTCGCCCTCACCCCCGACGCCAACTGGGTGCTTTCGGGCTCTAAGGACCGCGGCGTGCAGTTCTGGGACCCCCGTACCGGTACTACACAGCTTATGCTCCAGGGCCACAAGAATTCGGTCATTTCCGTAGCTCCCAGCCCTGCGGGTAGCTACTTCGCCACCGGTTCTGGCGACATGAAGGCTCGCATTTGGTCGTACCGTAATTATTAAGGGGGTATATCTCCTCCGCAGCTGACAGTCTTTTGGCGTCATGATGTCCCCCAAGCGTTTATTGGGACTGGGTGATTTGGGGAATTAATTGTTTGTTTTGAGGTTCTTTGCATTTGATATTTTATCCCGTGTGTTATTTCCAGCTCTTCTCGGCAAAAATCAGTTGGGTGGCCACAGCTAGGCTCCCGTTCTTTTGCGCATTTTTGGCTATCAAACCTGCTTGCGATAGTTGGGAATCGGGAGTGTAGCAAGAAGAGGAAAATGAGTTATGTTTTCAGCTGCGTAGTAAGTTTTGCGAGGATATATGCTGAACGATGAATGGAGACAGCTTGGGCGTACGGGAAAGGAGGAGGAAAGTCTCTTTGTATGTATGTTGGACCAGGTTGCCTTGGAGAGCAATTTGGCGGCCACTCAGTACATGGTCTTTTTTACTGCTTTGCTTGACTTGATAATGAATGATATTATAAGAATTAATACGCCTTCACTATTATCCGAAGTTGGTCATGGCAGGAATGTAGACGATTTATACATCCACACCGTCCAGTACATGCATGCGTAATAGCGCGCGCTCTCTTGTCGCATCTTTACAGCGACCCGAATAGACTGGAAAGCTCATCCTTGTCCTTCTTTTTCGGTTTCTTCTTTTTCGGCTTTCCGACAAGCTTCTCCATGCTGTCCATGGAGCGCTTTCGGCCGCTCTTCGGAGTAGTATCCTCTCTAGGAGTCGGATTTGACGATTTGGATGGTTTAGGTACAGGGCCGGGGATGTGGTCTCGCGAGATAGCCACGCCTTTGTCGTTGTTGAAGTTTCGGCCTTGTTGGGGCTGCCGTTGTTTGGGTGTCGAGTCCGGGGGCTGCATATCTGGTACTGGGTCATACGTCGCAGAGGCAAGAGTAATGGGCCCTTGGAGGAGCGGCGATATGGAGGTGAGGATAGAGTTCATGCTCGCAAGGGCGCTCAGCAGTAAGAGTCCCAGGGTGGCGTGTTGATTGTCGGCGACAAGTTGAGAGAAGCAGCTTTCGGAATTTGCTGGATTAGTCAAGGTTCCACGTCTCATCTGCAACTAAATTGGTGACAGGCAAGTACAAGAGTCGCAAATAATATACATACAGATACGCTTTGGGGACGGTGTGGTTACAGAACAGGGTCACGCGCGCGAGGAGCTGCCTCTGAGCGATTTTGGACCTCGTCTTGGTGGTGGTGCTCTTCTTGCCGTTCTCGGCCTGCGACCGACTCAGCATCTGGTGGCGGCGCAGGTCGGCAGCCAAGGAACGCGTGCCGCGACGAAACAGCTGGAAGGCAGACCACCAGTGCGAGGCAGCGTGCTGATTGCGGTGGCGGTAGTGGAAGGCGTCGAGGATGGGCAGCAGAGCTGCGAGCTTGGTCGCGAGGGCGACGTCTGCTGTGGCCGCTGCAATGCCGTGGTCCATGGATAGCGGAGGATAGTGCAACTTAGCAGGTGTAGCAGGCAAGAATATTAGGACAAGGCACGTGGGAGACCGACAGCTGGAGCAAAGTGGAAATACTTGTAGTACGTTGATGCTGTAGAGGCACTATTAGACAGTACCTGTGTGGTATCTTTTGGTCGACTGCAAACCCAACACAATTTTAGTTCCAAACTATAAATAATAGTATTTCTACAATTATTGACTAGTACGTAAATTGTTACATTGTCGAATCAGTTTGGACCCATTCGCTTGACGGGTTCTTATTAATCCGGAGGGGTCTTCATGGTTCCGATCGTCCCACTGTTGGATCGGCAGACAATTTTCGATTGTTCAAACCCCTCATCAACAAGCCGCGAGACGAAATCCAAAATGGCAACTGACGGAAAAAATGCTGGGACGTCGCCCTACGATACGTATCAGACGTCGCTGACGGCGAGATATTGCAGCCCGGAGATGTCACGACTCTTTGGCCAGCGCTCTCGCCACTCACAATGGCGCAGGCTTTGGCTGCTGCTCGCCGAGTCTGAGAGAGAGCTCGGCATCCAGACCATCACGACGGAAGCGCTCGAGCAAATGAAGCAGCATCTGGAAGTCACCGACCAAGACTTTGAGGTTGCCAGGGTCGAGGAGAAGATCCGCCGCCACGACGTCATGGCTCATGTACACGCCTTCGGAGCTGTCGCGCCGGCAGCGGCCGGTATCATCCACTACGGTGTAAGTCGAAGTTGAAATTGCCGCCGTTTTTGATGCTTTGTGATAATTTGTCCTGCAAGTCTTTGTCAATTGAGTCTAACGGTTGAAAATCAGGCGACAAGCTGCTTTGTAACCGACAATGCGGAGCTGATTCTCATGCGTGATGCCATGGATCTTCTCCTCCCAAGACTGGCGAAGGTTATTTCCAACCTTTGCAAACTTGCTAGGGAATGGAAGGCAACACCAACTCTGGCATACACGCATTTGCAGCCAGGTATTTTTTACCGATCATCACCAAGCCGGTAGAAGGTTGCTAACCATTCACAGCTCAACTGATTACAGGTAACCGAAGCAGTGCCGCCTTTTGATGATATTATCCCTTGAAAAAATATTGATATACGTCTAGTTGGAAAGCGGGCAGCCCAATGGGCCCAAGATCTCGTTTTCGACCTTGAGAGTATCGAGCACGCTCGCAATGGTCTACTTCTTCGAGGTGAGCCGCCATACACATGGTGCATCTGACAGCGAGAGACTGAATGACAGGTAATTCCAGGTGCACAAGGAACTACGGGAACTCAAGCTTCGTTCCTCGAGATTTTTGGCGGTGATGGTTCCAAGTGTGACGAGTTGAACGCACTATTGTGCAAGAAGATCGACTTCCCTGGGTGCTACGACGTGTCGACGCAAACGTACACCCGCAAGGTTGACCTTCTCGTAGCCAACGCCATCTGCGGCCTGGGTGCTACGGCCCAAAAGATTGCCGGAGATGTCCGCCATCTCGCCTCGTGGCAGGAAGCCGAGGAGCCTTTTGAAACCAAACAGGTGGGGTCAAGTGCCATGCCCTTCAAAAGAAACCCGATGCGTTCCGAGAGAGTCTCCAGTCTCGCCCGAGAGCTTTTGTCCAAGCAGGCGACGACTGCAAACACCCTCGCGGCGCAATGGATGGAGCGCTCACTGGACGACAGTGCCGTCCGCAGAATGGACTTGCCCGAGATTTTCCTCTTGGCCGATGCCATCATTGGCAGCCTGGACAACATCACCGACGGCATGGTCATTTACCCTCAGGTGGTTTCCTCGCGGGTGCAGGAACAACTGCCTTTTATGTGCGCAGAGAATATCATCATGAAGCTTTGTGCCAAAGGCGTCTCCAGGCAGGAAGCCCACGAGCAGATCCGCGTCTTGTCGCACCAAGCTGCCGGTGTCGTGAAGCTCGAGGGTAAGCCCAATGATCTTATCGATAGAATCAAGGCCACCGAGTTCTTCCAACCGATCTGGGCTGATCTGGACAATATGCTGAGACCTGAGCTCTACATTGGTCGTAGTGTTGAAATTGTGGACCGTTACTGTGGTCTAGAAGGCGTAGCCGAGCGAAAGATCCAGAAATACAGGGCCGTCTTCGAGAAGTCAGCAACGACGGAGCTGAATGTCTAATACTAAATGCCAATATTTTATCAAAGAGCGCAAGCTGGTTTGAAAATATGTTTCGTTGCTGTCCCATATAGTCCTGCCTTGCACAGTGATCGCCTATCCTCTTTATCAAGGCTCGACAAGTCGGGCTGGCAAGTAGGGATTTGATAGTGCCTTGCACTCCCGGAATCTCTGCCAGTTTTGGCTGCCCCGAACCGTGGATTCCTACAAGACCGCTGTGATTTCCACTGGAATAGAACATAGGGCATGGCATATTCCAATGCGATGCCTGCTTTGGCCGTCATCGCCGTGGGCTTCCTGTTTGGCACTGCTATGTATCACTCGAACCACCAACGCGCTTCGGTTTCGCTATCTGCCACAAGAAACAACATGTGCCATACAAGATTTTTCAGAGAGGACCCTACCGTGTGCACAGAATAATACTTTTGACGGGGGCGGTGCCGGCCACGCGCTGCCCCCTTATCAGTTGCGATTCGCGTACTACTCGGCGGCGCGCCTGTGTCGCGGTCTGTATCACCATTCTAGGCTACTTCAAGTTGACGAAAATCTCTGACATAGTGATTCACAGACTGGGTACTAAAATATAGGAATAAATCCAGCATTGTTCCTCAGCATTGCGCTTCTCTAGGCTAATGCTTTGCAATGACAGCACGGGGGAATTTGCAAACTCGTGCCAGCCACGCTTAAATATTTCTATCAGATGCACCCCCAAAATATTACCTATATGAAGCATAGCTAAGTCCTTGAAGCTTGTGAGGTGGATCTGCGGCACGACCATGGTCTATAACGCATCCGTCGACATTTGGATCAATTGGGAGCTCTCCGACGGGGCTGAGGCGGCGTACAAGAAAGAGGCTAGAGACTTGGCACAGAGCGTGGATGGGTTCTAAAATAGGCGAGACTTACACCATCGCGACCGTCATGGGTCGGGAGCAGCAGCAACACGACGGCCCGGACCTGAACATTCTTCTTTCCGGACCAGACGCAAGTCAAAATACGCTACTCCGTGGAGGCTGCCCGGGGCCTTTTAGAGGTGCCGGATACAAAACTACTTTCAGAATTGAAAAATGAGGAGAGCAGCTCCAGCCTTTTGTGGTAGAGGTTATAGCCCCGCAAAGACCCTACATCTTGGAGCGATCTTCCGGTCCAATGTTATACTCACTCCGTTTTAAGAGCCGTCGTCTCTCTTCTGTCCCTATCAAGCTCACAATTTCGCATTCTAGCGCTGGGCTCGGTACACTCGCTGCAGAGGGGCTGCATGAGTTGGACAGCTATTTTTCGGACTTTGTATCAAGCTTTCACTTTCAAGAGTTTGTTGCTTTTCCGGGTTGTTGGAAGTAGCTTCCTTCTTCCCAAGAAAGTATCGCGGACGTACTTCAGGTCAAACTCCTAATGTATTATTATATAGCGCTATCAGTAAATGGCGACACGACCTGTTTCATGTGCTTGTAGTGTGTCCAGTGCGTAGTTGCTGGTCCGTTCTGTATGTATATTTGGGATTGGCTAGCGAGTCTCCAGCGATACGAGAGCTGTGGTGAGAGAAAGCATTGCTTGATCTTGCCACCTGCATCTGAGTGAGATTGGGCATTTTATTTTAAGACATCATCGTATGTATTATTGATAGTCCCTTTAAGTACACTATTATTCTCCCTCGGTTCTCTCACTTGTCAACTCATCGTATGATGCGAGGGCTAACCTTCAGTAGGTTTGACGCTTACCATGTTAGCCCACTGCAATGAGTACGCGTATGCAATTGCGTTATTTCCCCGAATTACGTTCTAATAGACACTGTGATAGTAGCCGGTCTGGCGGAGGAGTATTTGTCTCGTCTCCCACCTGACAGGGCAACCTGCGAGCCAGGGACGCTGAACCCTAAGATAAAGAACGCACACTTACCTCTCCGCGGGTCTTTCTTCTTACCTTCAAATGCAACAAGGGTTTTTTCTTTCTTTTATATCCATTCGAATTATCCGAAACTACTATCTACAATGTCAGCGTAGGAGGCTTCAGAAAGGGCACCGTTGTCATCATAGATTTTCTTGACAAGCTGTGCAGCACCCTCATGAGGACAGCTTCCCCGATTAAGGACATGAAGCCTTTAAGCCTCTAAATTCAATCTGGAATACGGCCAACCTGTCGCTAAGAAGATTCCGCTTCGATAACATGGGAGTATGGGGGGATGAGAATCCGGTGACCATGTTCGGGCCGATTGAGCACGCGCAAAGGCTCAAGGCGAATCTGGACAGCATCAAGCCAGCGGGATTACAGAGCAAGGATAAGATGGAAATGAGGTATATTGGAAATATAGGTACTGGGAAGCGACTAGTTATGTCAATGGGTACGCTAAACTTATACTTCCACCTTTAAACTGTCTGCTTGATTCTTCGTATAAAGGGCGTGCTGCTTGGGACGGATGAGTACCTGACTCCATAGAACGACGCCTAGGAAAATTAAGCGGCAAGTGAATTCGTCTCTGTATCGCTAAAACATGCCAACTAAATAAACTCCACTATGCTGGGTCTGCACAACATTAGTTCAATACCGGTTCAAGACCGCGTGCATCAGGACCGTGGGGGTAGCCGTCTGATGACATCGGTGCCCTTTGATGAATGCTTAACGAGACTCCGTTCTTTTCAGTTTTGGTGGTTCTTGATTGCTAAATTGACTGTGATAAAGTATTCAATGGACAGACATGTGATTGACGGTCATAACTGTGGTACCCCTAGTCGCAGGTGGCGAAGCGATCAGCTGCTTCATGTCGTACCTCCCAATTTCAAGGTAGCCAAATGCCCGACATTAATCAGGTGGGTAGTTTGTGCGATTCCTAATGTATACTACGAAAGGGGTCGTCATATTTGATCAGCTGCTCCCGCCCTTTGGAAGCACGGACAATAACCACCTCAATGCCTCGATTCGGCTTGAAGTCTTTCTACATTCATATCTTCTTTTGTATGTATAACTGGAATCAATACATAATGAGCTCGACCACCCCGGAATCTATGAATGGGCTTCAGGCAAATTCAACGACAATCAGTGTCATGATTCTAGTGCCAAACGACAAGACGAAGGAGATGCTGGTCCAGGAGCTCTTTTTGTGGCACTTTGGATCCGAGGCGCCTTGCACTGTGCACCGCTGCCGAATCGATGGCCCAGAGCCATATATGGATAATGTCAATGTGGTAGAGATGGTGCTCGAGTTTGGAGACAGGCGTGCGGCAGACGGGTACTTCGAGAACATGATCCCGCAGCTCGAGGCATTCGGCTACGAACTTGGGCCGCTTCAACCCTATGTCGTGCGGGAATAGCAGATCGTCTTTCGGAAATGAACTGCAAAAACACCTACTAGGAGCAATATATAGCACTTACGCATGTAATTTAAAGGAGATCGCAAAGTAGTTCTTTTCCAAAGACGCGGAGGGATTACGGTGCAATGTTCACCTATGGCGCACGATTCTGAACCTGGCAAGAATGATATACCGAATCGCACGAAACCGCAATGAAAAACTTGGCCTCGATTAAGATTTCCCACGGCCGGCCTTTTGCTGTATACAACGCAAGGCAGATCCGTTTGCCCTGCGGAGCACCCCCGTTTGCCCTTCACTTCACACCACTACCAGCAACAATTCCTTTGACATCTGCCAAATCTGCTTCTTTCATTCAATTTCTTGGGTGTGATATGCCACCATCCAGAACGCACCCTGGCCGTCGGGCCTGGACTCAGCTCCCAAACGTGGACGAGGACAGTTGCACCGAGATTGCTAGCGACTCCAACTTCCTCAATGGATTATCTTCAAACGAAGAACGACTCGAAAAGACAAAAATACGGCGCAACAATGATCTTATCTGCACTGCCACCGAGACTGGTCCAGACGGCTCTCGAGTAGAGTCATTCCAAAGCATGATGAAAGAGTAAGCAATCAGTCAAGGCGATATTTCTGCCAGTTTTTAATGAGCGATAGGTCATTCAACAACGCTATCTTGTCTGATGTCACCATTTTCGTCAACGGCCTGCGCTTTGCGGCACATAGCTTTGTTTTGGCTTCTCAATGCAAATTATTCAAAGATGTTTTTACAACAGGTGGACTGAAGAAAGAGGCCACCAAAGAGTTCCGGTACAAGACGAAGCATCCGCATGCCTACTGGCGGATGCTCGAGTATATGTACAAGGGGACCTACTCCATTGAACCGGCTGCTGAAATAGCTAAATCAGGTAAGCTTATCATCAACAAATTCCCGGCTATATGTGATAAAACTCTAACTTTATAGATGACGATCTCATTCACAGGCACATTCACGTCTTCGCCGTCGCCGAGGCTTTCGACATCCAGGGTCTCCAGCGACTAGCCTGCGACAGATTCCAGCAATCCATTTTGCAGGATAGAATGGACATTGACTTTGTTGCTTGCGTTCGATTGATATATAAAACCACCAAAAAGAGAGGTAATTTGCTGAGGACAGAGGTGATGGAGATTGTGTGCGGGCATTCGAAGGAGTTGTGGAAACTGGCGGAACTACAGAAACTCGTCTCTGACGGAGGGGATTTCACTGTGGACTTTATGGCCAAGCTCCTGGAAGGCAACTAGTAGTTTTTTCGAGCTCATCTTTCTATGGGCCTTTTCTTCCTTCTCAATTCCGGAGCACTCTCATGACTTCTTTAAGGTGGCCCATTTACAACTTGCATATGGTACTTCTGCGAGACGAACCCAGTGCCATTCTGTGAATAGAGCGCCAGGAACTCATCCCATAATTACGGTAGCACCGCCCCGGTCCTTGCCACTGTTGGTACGTTGCAAGAGGCTGCGTGGTGCAACAAAATCTGGTCCCAGTCAGTGGATTTGCGAGGTTTTGAGACGGGTTGGTCAAGTTTCCGTCATCATACACATATAAATGAATTCGTAATATATATTTATGACTTTCCCTCAGATTTGTAACTCCTCCAAAGACAAGATTGGAGTCCTACTAAATACTCGATGTAGCCCGCCCCTGACGCCATTTGCATCTGTAGTGCCCTTGTCATACTGCTAGACTGGCTGCATACGTGCGGTGCCAAACATATGTAATGCAGATTCTATCATTTGCAACACCCCAGAAAGTGCTGAGGGATCGGCTAAGATGTTGTCAGTGAGTTGTTGACTACCTATCTAGCCTCAACGCGAAGGCCCTCGCTCAATGTTATCACGGCTTGTCCGCCGTGGTTGATGGAACGAGACAATTATCAATTTGAGATAGGACATGCCATGATGGGAATTGCATCTTGTTATCTGAAAAAAAAAGAACTCGATCTTGAGTACTATTGTGAACATGGTTGATTTTGTTGTTGATACTCTTGTTGGTCTTTTTATGCTTGTCCAGTAAGCACAGGCGAGGCATGTCTAATGAGGTGAACAACTTGCACGCACGCCGTAAGTTGAACACCCATCAAGACAGCCATACCGAATCAGCCAGGTGAGAGAACCCGCATGTAGGGGTATTTCTCTTTCGGATGAACTGCAGATATCTTTTCTTGGGATTCTTTTTTGTTTTCCACAGATACGCCAGCCACGTATTCAAGCCAGTTCACGCAGAGGGACAAGTCTGGGGTCTGGCAGGACATGCAAGCCCGTCTCTGGATGTGTTGCGATCGAATCATGTAGCAGGAAAACAGATCATCGGGGAAGGGGATAAAAAAAAATGTTACTTGACAGCCGCCCTTGATGGTGTCAAAAAAGTATACTCAGCTCGCTGCATTGGTCATCTGCCTCTGTCTGCCACGCAAACCAGCCAGTAACAATGCAGGGCCTCACCACATGCCAGCCACCGTATCAACACCAACAAGACCTCTCACCTTCTGCTTCCGCCTTTTCATCCAACTTGTTCCAACTTGACCCCTCTTCCAACCATTTTAGCCCCAATCTGCCCACCCTCCAACCTCACGCGCCCGTGAGTATGACGCGGCACCAGTGCTACCTACATACCCTTGCTGGGCTTCCCTCAACACTTTTAAAGTACAGTCAACCTCACTCGCATTCACACACATCTCCCGCTGCTGTGCTCTCGGTATGCGATACACCCTCGCCCGCTGCGACTTGATCCAGCCACCATGAAACCCCAAGATCTTTTGCCACGCCTCCTCCTCCTCCTCCAATCCGCCCGCGCGCTACCCGCGTTGCGTCTAAGCTGGCCTTGGTCTCCCGCCCCTGATGACAGCACACTCGCGCGACCACTACCAGCGCCAAACATCCCCCGCCACGGACAGCCGGTCAATGGTTTCGACTTTCCGCACCGCCCGGGGTTCCCTTCGACCGGTTTCATCGCTCTCGGCGACTCCTACTCGGCCGGCATCGGCACAGGCATCAACGGTTCCGAAGTCGATTGCCGCCTGGGCAGCCATGCGTATCCCATACTCATTCGCAACGACATGATGTCGGCCCAAAACGATGACCACGGCAACGCCACGACCTTTCAGCATCTGTCATGTACGGGGTCGACGATACAGGATGTCTTGGCCGGCGGTGAACATTCCCAGGTTGATCTCATTAACACTACGGCATCTGCTGATTTCGCCCTGCTCTCCATCGGCGGTAACGACCTGGGCTTCTTTGACATTATGAATAGCTGCATCTTCCGCTTTTACTCTTTCTACTCGGGAACCTGTGAGGCCGCTCTCGAGCGCTCTGACGCACAAATTGCTGGGCCCGAGTTCGACCAGCACCTACGTCTGCTCATTATGGAGGTTTTGGACAGGGTCCACTGGGAGAAGCGTCCCTGGTTCACCATTACCATCACGGGCTACGCGCGCTTCTTTAACGCCGACACGGAAGAGTGCGATAATTATTCTTTGGGAATATGGTGGCGCGGGCCAAAACTGAAGCAAGACCTGCGTAGAAATATGAACCGCATGGTCCTCAACGTGAATCACCGAATCGAACAGGCCGTTCACACCATCAATGAAGCGTTTACGGAGCCAAGGGTATTGTTTGTGAATTACGACGATGCCTTTGAGGGCCACCGCTTTTGTGAGCCGGGGGTAGTTGAGCCGGATTATATGCGCAACGAGACTTGGTTCTTTTTAGTCGGTGGCGAGGATAATGACGGCTCGACCATGCCCCACGAGCCTTTCCCCCCGAATTCGACCCTTGGTGATCCGCAAGTGCTGCGCGGTGACGAGGTAGCGGTGCAGAATTCCATGTGGTATGTGCCGACATATTACGGCAAAACATTTCATCCAGTAAGTTGCCTGGTAGTACAGTCTTTTCTTCCTGTTTCTGACCTTCGAATAGCGCACCAAGGGCCACATGGCCATTCGCGACAGAGTCTACCAAACTTGGCGCGAGACAGACATTTTGACTGTTCAGCCAGCAAACGTAGAACTGTAAGACATGGTAGTAAAACGGGGCAGTAAATAGAATGGTTTCAACGATGTCTATGTGGATCTTTCTCTTTTTAATTATTTCTCTTTTCCGAAATGTTTAGCGCAGCATAGGAAGGCCTTTGTTCATCGCCTCATACCTGATCATCAGTTAGCGCTTTGGCACTCACTCTGACAGCAGGAGGTAGTTAGCGCGTACACACTAGAACAACCTGGGTCGGACTAACTTTGATGCACAACTTCCTCCGTCCGCATCACGCGGCTGGCGGGATACCTTGCCTGCCATTTCAACCTCCGCGCGATATTTCTCATTTCCATCTCCCAAAATACCGGTTCTGTTATTTCTTATCGCTCGCTGAGGCCTCAAGCTACGTTTGAGCCTTTTGGCCTCCCTTCATCCGCCACAGTCACCATGGCTCCAGAAGCTAAAGGTATACGCTGACCCCCACTCTATGTCACAGCATCACCCGCAGTCTGACAATCATCGCAGGCGCAAAAGAGTCTGCCAAGTCGTCCAAAAAGGACACCAAGGGTGGCACCATTAAACTAAAGAAGCAGGCACCCAAACACAACAAGCCCGGCAACTGGCGTGACGGTAGCGTCGTCGAAGGTATGTGCGCACTGACGAGACACGGCAGTGGCATCGCTAACACATGGGGTAGACGAAAAGAAGAAAATCGTCAGCTCACCCTCGGCTTCTATCGCCTCTCCCGGGCCCGTCGTCAACCAGCTCGACGACAATGCGCGGGAGGCCTTTGCGACCGGCCGGCCCCTCGAAGACTCGCCCGACCTGCAGCAGTGTAAGCACTGCAAAAAGAGCATCCTGAAGACAGCGACCAAGGCGCATATCGCGGCATGCCTCAAATTGAAGAAGGAAAAGGCGCAGCGCAAGAAAGAGGCGAGGGAAGCCCGCGAGCGAGCAAAGGAGGCCGCACGCGAGGAAGAGGCGCGCAAGGCCGAGGACAAGGACGACGAGGAGAGCGATGACGATGATGATAAAAAGGGTGGCAAGCGCGCCGGGAAGAAACCCGAGGATAGCAAGGGCAAGAAGCGCAAGGCCGATGGCGAGCCGGAAAAGGCGCCCAAGGCCAAGAAGAAGAAGGATGAGCCGAAGGCCAAAGTGCCCAAACCAAAGGGTATACTCTACGTGCTGTCTTACATGTATAGTGCTAACATTTGCAGGCCCTGTCGATGTTGAACGACAATGTGGTGTCATTCTCCCCAACGGGCAACCATGCGCGCGCTCGCTTACCTGCAAAAGTCACTCGATGGGTGCCAAGCGTGCGGTCTCAGGCCGTTCGCTACCTTACGACATGCTCCTTGCGGCTTACCAAAAGAAGAATCAAGCTAAGCAACAGAGTACGTCCTACCCAGATATACGGTCATTACACTCTTCTAACACAGTACAGAGGCTGCTCTGGATGCCAACGCCCCTGTCCCGGACGAAGACGAAGAGAACCAAGGCCCCGTCGACTCGGACGAGGAAAGTGGCGCTGTCATGGCGGCCCTCAGCAGCTGGAAGCCCAAGCCCCTCGTGCCGCAACCCTTTTTCACCCCTATCAAGCGCCAGTACCAGCTTGCGCGTCTCCACGAGCAGCTACAGATGGCCACTAACGGCGGCCGCACCAATATCTTCCAGGTTGTTGGTTACGGCGCGCAGAAACTGCCCGAGGGCCATCCGGGGTTGGAGGACGGCGACGCGGAGGGGGAGGATGTGGGCGCGCTAAGCTTTCCCACGTCGGCACGGTCAGGGTCGTTTGCGATCCCGGCGACGCCTTCGAGACCGGCATCGGCAGTGGCAAGGGGCTGAACTGAGAGCATTACGGAGCATATATGGCGTTTTCATTGCTTTGGGCGTTTCGGTCATGACGGCGTTGTAAGGTTGGTAGAAGGCTCTTTTGAATTATTTGGCTTTAGTTTATACCCACTAGTTCTGTGCTTCGGAATTGGTAATGACGGCGGAAGGTATGTGCGTAGAGTGAGCATTGGATACGGACAGCGTGCGAGCTTTATTATTTGAGGGCAAAGCAATTTATTTTATTAAAGATATCCACGATGGCGCCTTTTGCAGCGTCAGTGATTTGATTCTTTCTCTTCATCGAATTGCCATCATCAGCAATCAATTTTGCTGCAATAGCATGCCTCCTTATGTACCTAGGTTGGTTAGGGTTGTGGGACTGGCAGTCAGCTACGCAGATCGTCGATGACGTCGTTGATAAGAAGCTCGGCAACTGGCACATGTTCATGCTGTGGGATATCGCCTAGCATAACACTACATTGGACATCTACTGTTTCATCCTATTTTCAGACTATTTTCTTTTTTTCAATCGCTTACCATAGTCGCGCAGCTGTTACAATAACCACCACACTGTGGCTATTGACATCGATCGCTCTTCTGCATTCTGCAACGAGCATGGCTTCCTCACAGGTCCTCGAGGCTCTTGGCCACGCAATTTCCGGCTCTTTTGGCACCGCCACATCCACTGCCGTTCTCGCACCACTCGACCTCGTCACAACGCGCCTCAAGATTCAGCGGCAGCTCGACGACCAGTCGCAGTATAGCGGCGTCGTCGACGCCTTCCGCAGCATCCTGCGTGAAGAGGGCGCCGGGACATTTTACAGCGGCCTGGGCACCGATGTCTCCAAGTCCATCATTGACTCGTTCCTCTTCTTCGGTTTCTACAATTTTCTGCGGCAGCGCAGCGGCAAGGGACCGGGCGTGCTACAGGAGGTGGCATTCGGCATGATGGCCGGCGCCGCGTCCAAGGCGTGCACGGCGCCGCTGTCCAATGTCGTTGCGAGGCGCCAGATGACGCCGAGTGATGACGAAATGCGGTCGGTTACAGAGACGCTGCGGGACATGCGCCGGGACGGCGGCATAAAGGCGCTCTGGGCGGGATATTCGGCGACGTTGGTGCTGACGCTGAACCCTAGTATTACCATGCTGCTTAATAGGAGGCTCGCGGAGCGCGTGATTCCCATGCTAGAGGAGGAGATGGACGTGCCGGTCGCATGGGTGGCATTTCTACTGGCAGCGCTGAGCAAGTCGGCGGCCACGGCACTGACGTATCCATTCCAGACGGCCAAGACGATGCTACAAATGCCGAATGCGGGTTTGGACGAGGACGAGGATGAAGATGAGGAGAGGAAGAAGAGAAGGTCAAAGAGGAGGTCTGTGTGGGCGAGAATTGTGGCAGCGCTTGATAGAACCATCTTTGGCATGATCCTGCGGCTGATGAAGACGGAGGGACTCGGGGCGCTGTATGACGGCATGGAGGGCGAGCTGCTCAAGGGCTTCTTCAGTCATGGACTGACAATGTTGACCAAGGGCTTCTTTCACCGGTTGGTGATTCGCATGTGGATCATGTCGCATGCTCGTCGTCCACTAAAGTCGTCGAGTTGAGTTGCTCAGGTCATTGTATTTTGGTTCTATGTATATATATATATATATATATGTATGTCTAGGTAAAAGAGGTTTTTGTTGGGCTAACATTGGAAAGCTACATTGTTGCGTTCCACGGTGTTGCCGCCGCGCGCTGAAAAGCCCGTGCCTTCGGATTTCAGCGCAATCATGCCGCTTGGCAGCAGCGAAGGCTTGGACGTGGACGTAGATGTGGACGTGGACGTGAATGCGTCGACCCTCCACGACAGCGGCGTATCGCAGACAAAGCACGCCGCTGCCGCGTCTCTGGTCGTTTCCTTGGCCGCCTGCTTCGGCGGCGGCGCCACAAACTGCTTGACGCAGCCGAGGCACAGTACGTGCCCGCACTTGATGGCCATGGCCGGGCTCGACGCGTTGGTCAGCGTCTTGCGGCACGACGGGCAGGTGCGGGTGCCGGCTCGCTTGGACAGGTCGGACTGCTCGTCAAAGTGAATGGTGATGAGGTGCTGCAGGCTGAGCGCGTGCGGGTTATCGCTGGCGGACGCGGGACACACAGCAACGGGTTTGGTTTTCTTGGAGGCTTCGAGGAGTCGGGCGTCTTTGGTGGCGTCGGGTGTGAGTGAGGGTGTCCAAAAGGACGGTAATGATGATTTAGCGGCCTAGTTTATGTTAGTCTTGCGCCGGTTGTGCCAATGGCTAAATCTTGCCTCTTCGTCGTTAATGGTCTTTCGAGCTTTTGCTCGGTCTTCTTTGGCTATCCTCTCCAGTTCCTCCGCGTCTAGCTCAAATTTTCTCTTTACGTTCGTGATCCTTGGGGTATCGTTATTCGTTTCTTTCGCTACATCTCTTTCCGCAGCAGGTCTCGCACTGCCAGAGAGTCCGGCCTGCGTGAGCTCAAAATCGCGAACGGCACGGCGCTGGTCCTCGTCGTCGTGGGCGGCCTGCGCCCGGGCGGTATCACGTTCCGCCTGCCTCCGCGCCTTGTCGGCGCGCTTAATGTCCTGTTTCTGTGCGAGCATGTTGGCAAGCGCACACTCGCGGCAAAAGATGTCGCCGCCCAGGCAGGACACCGGGTCTCGGGCCAGCTCCAGGCACAGGCTGCACGAGCCAAATGGCAGAAACGAGTCGCGGTGCAGGCGAGCCGACTTGGACGCCCAGTTGGCCTTGGCGAGGCTGCGCTCGTGCGAGGTGAAGACGGGCCGTGTCGTATTTCGCTTGCCTGAACTGAGGTTAGTTCTAGCCGATGCCGCTTGGAAATCGAACAGGAGCATACTATGCGACATGCTTAGGGAGGATACCGAATTCCCGGCTCTTCGTCGTGTTGTGGTTATTTGCTATAGACTGTATTTTCTGGCTGAATAGGCTGAAGATTGATCAAAGACAAGCCGACGCATGAGAGGTGGGGCGTGGCACCAGTAGCTCATTCATTGCCTGATCGCGATCGGAAAATTTCCAGCTTCTCACAACCGTTGCAGTGCAACTGCGCACCCGCCAAGGACCACGCCAACTGGCTGCGTCTGAGGATCCGACAACTTTCTTGCCATGTCTTGCTCTTCACCTCCACCCTCGCCGCTGCGCCGTGGCTTAGGCTGGCGGCTAGGCTCGACAGCCGTCATGGCCACCATCGGCGCAGCTTGTCGGGGATTTCTCTACGCCTTCAACACCGTCGAGGTGACGGGCCTACAGAACCTTCTGGGAGTCCTAGATAGGCGAAAGAAGTACGGCAAGGATCGCGGCTTGATTACCGTGTGCAATCATCTTGCAGTGTGCGTTTCTGGCTGTTCGAGAGGTGTTGAGCATGAGCTAACCTGTACAGACTGGACGATCCTCTAATTTGGGGTATTCTTCCCATGCGCTACGCTTTCGACGTTGAGAACCTTCGATGGAGTCTTGCTGCGCATGACATATGCTTCAAGAATAGGTACTATGCATACGCCGAGGCATCAGAACCCAGCTGACCGTCTGAATCTAGTCTTACATCTGCCTTCTTCAACCTCGGCCAAACCCTTCCCACGCACCGATCATGGCATTCTAAGCTCGGTGGCCTATACCAACCGACCATGACGCAAGCACTGGGTCTTCTCTCCGGCCCTTCATCAATTCCAAAAATCACAAAGTCAACCTACTCGACCAACGGCAAGGACATCATCCCTGCGCCGGCCTTTTACACGGCGAATCGCAACGCCTGGGTGCACGTCTTCCCCGAGGCATGCTGCCACCAGAGCGCCGACAGCAGCCTGCGTTACTTTAAATGGGGCGTGTCGCGGCTCATCCTGGAGAGCGACCCCGCGCCCGAGTTCGTGCCCATGTTCGTTGACGGCACTCAGCACATAATGCCCGAGGATCGCGGGTTCCCGCGCTTCCTACCCCGCGTGGGCAAGCGCATCCGTGTCGCCATCGGCGCCCCCGCCGACACGAACCTGCTCTTTGGGGCCTACCGTCAGCGCTGGCGCCAGCTGCGCGAGAAGAAGACTGACGAGGAGTTGCAACATGGTCCGGAGGCGGCGCAGCTCCGCATAGAGCTGGCCAAGGCGGTGCGCGACGAGATTCTCAAGATGCGCGCGACGCTGGACTTACCACAGGAGGTAGATGAAACCGCGGCGCTGGCGGAAACGTGGGACAAGGAGCCGAACAAGCGCAGGTTCAAGAGTCCGGTAGACGGAAGTCTTGTAAATCGACATTAGGCGGCTTGCATTGTAGTTTCACTGTACATTAGACTAGACATTTGCATACGGTATAGACGGTAGCCTTGCAGTGACATTAAATTTTACGGCTTGCAGTGACGCAAATTTTGCAACAAATGAACATTATTATATATACCGTTTTCCTGTCTCTAGTAATGCCACCAAAACTCCGTTCCGTCCAATGTCTAGCTGCCTGTCAACCAGCGCTGAAAAGACAACTTGGCCGAGACGCTCATAAACATGCTATAATCAACGCAACATCTACATCAGTCGCTCGCTATGCCACGCTACAAGCCTATCCCTAGTAGCCTTCGTAGCCTTGCACTGGAACTTGCTGATAACCCCCTCTAGCTCCGGCCTGCGCAGCCGCTTGAGCCGCTTGCTGTTGTTGGTGCATTAACAGGTCGTTAAACCAGGGGTGTTGTAGGGCGTCGTGGGCGCTGATGCGCAGCTCGGGCCGCAGCTGCAGCATTCTCTGGAGGAGGTCGATGCCGGTAGGATCAATGGCGGGTAAAATATTGCGCAAATCTTGCGTCGCGTACATCTGGAACGTCGGCTTGTACTCTGGCAGCTGGGTGATGCCGGGCCAGGTTCGCTCGGTCGGGGTACCCATGATGCGGAAGATGCGGATGATCTGGTCTTCGTTTGTCGTGCCCGGGAACAGCGGGCGACCAGTGTACATCTCGGCCATGATGCAGCCGGCGGACCAAATGTCGATGCTGGTGTTGTAGGTGCGGCTGCCGAGAAGCACATCCGGCGCGCGGTACCACAGGGTGACGACTTCGTTGGAAAAGGTGTTGACTGGAATACCAAAGGCGCGGGCCAGACCGAAATCGCCCAGCTTTAGAAGCCCCTTGCTATTGTATAGGAGATTCTGCGGCTTTAAATCTCTGTGCAGGACCCTGTTTTGGTGGCAAAAGTCGATGCCCTTCAGAAGCTGATACATGAAGGACTTGATAGTGGCGGGTTTGAGGGCACCACGCTCGCCATGAGTGTCCATATAGCGCTTCAAATCGCCGTCCATGTGCTCAAACACGAGCATGAGCTTGTTTTCGGTGTGAATGACATCGTGGAGGGCGACAATGTTCTCGTGCTTCAGTTCCTTCATGAGCGAGATCTCGCGAATTGCCGTCGACGGAGTACCTTCTTCGGAGTCGAGGTGGATTTCTTTGAGGGCAACGAGCTCACCAGTCTGGCGGTTTCTGCCCTTGAAAACCTGTGGATGGGGTTTTTAGATGAGCAAGGGGAGTTCGAGGTTGGCTTCCAACATACGTACCGTCGCATACGTTCCTTCGCCCAGCTTTTCCAGCTGCTGGAACGAGCTGGGGTGACGCTTGCCATCCATGATGAACGCCGTGATGTTTGATATTGACGCGGCTTGTTGAGGTATGAGGAACAACTATTGCCCACCGTAGATCAGTTCAACATAGCCCTAGACTTTGGCACAAAGCATCCCACCACCCAGTAACGTCTGATGGTGGTGCCGATTAAGTGAGTCAGGGAGGGGACATGCGGCTAGGCGGTGGTATCGCAGTAACCGAACACTCATTGTCCTTGTTCCAGTGTTGGCTGTCGGTACCTCCGAGTCCAACGCCGGACGGGCCAAATTACATGTAGCCTGGTCAACCCCCGCCCCTGGCAGCACCACCATCTCGCGACTTACCTATGTATTATGGCGGGGTCACGCTGCTAGTGGCCATGTGTTCGCGTTAAGTTATCCTGGTCGGATTTGCCAGCTTCACCTCCAAATTACTTTCTCAGCCTTCATAAATCTTCCATCATCCACTTCTCCGCGATGCAAATGTCTCTCTGTCTCCATTCCCGATAGATCAAAATGCGACCGGTCCCGAGCCCGCGGGCGTCTGTTGGCGCACTCCGCGACTACACCCACTCGGCAACCAGCCAATCCCTCGAGACCAGTAGCTGTTTCTTAGTCACTGAGGCAGATATGGATCTCAAGTTGGATACCGACAGTATAGTCCCCCGCGGTCGCTCCATCATTAAATGTGAACCTGTCGTGCAAAGAAACGCCTTGCCGTCGCCGATGGCATCCTCGCCAGTCGTCGGTTCAGAGAAGGACACTGTGGCCGAGTTCTCCGCTCCAAATACACCACATATGTATGGTCTATCGCGCCCAGAGTCATCGTTATCGTTTCTGTCGTCACCACGAAATCTCTCCAGCTCTTCGTCTGCCGTTGACCGCGACGGCTCCATTGAAGACGCCATTATTACCCAGCAGCACATGGAAACGTACCGGGATCTGCCCCCGAGCAGCGCAGGGAGCCCTGTACCACAACTTATTATGCCAAACCTCCTCATTCCTCGTCGTCGTCCTTTTACCACTGTTGGTCGGTCGCTGGGAAAGTTACGACTACTTGTATTGGGATCTCCAGGTTGGTCATCCCCGCAATCTGCCGCCCAGCTACTAACACTACCCAGGTACTGGCAAAACTTCCATAATTCGCTCCATATACCAATGTTGTGAACATATCGTGCACATTGACGCTGTAAATACTCACTTCAGTGGGCCAGTGTTGGAAACCCATGCCAGTACGCGTCCATATCAATGGTGGCAAACAGAGATCCCATCCGAGACGCTCCGACGGAGATCGTCCACTTCTGTTGAGGACATTCTGGACAGGAATATTTGCTTTCTAGACTTTACGCCCCAAAGCCCTATAAGCACACGCCATGCCTTCGACTTTCTCGAGTCAACTTTGGCTCCGCTATTGGAAAAGCAAATGGCCGACGCCGACTTAATTTCGCTCCTAAGCAACGGCAATGAACCAATAGTGCACGCAGTATTATACATGCTGCCATCAACCGGTATGTCATAGGGGTAACTTCGATGTATACTGCTAACGCGCCCAGGCCTGACGAAAACGGATGTGGACGCATTAACCCGTCTCCAGGCCGTTACGAACATCATCCCGCTACTTGCGCGTTCCGACGAGCTCGACGAGCCAGCCATCGAGGACTGCAAGCAGTATCTACGAAACGAAATAGACGACGGGGGCATCGACGTTTTCTCTTTTACCCTTTTAGACGGAATGAACGATCATACGGGCATTTTTGCCGTATCCAACGCCACTCAAACAGATAACGATATCATGGATGCAAGCATTCTCATGAACTCCGCTTACATTAAACCGCTGCTGCCAACGGACCTTGATGCCCTTGTTGAGAGTATATTTTCGTTGGAAGGGGCATCACGCCTCAGGTACTCCGCAGCCGCCAAAGCTGTCAAGTGGGCACATGAACAGCATCGATACCATCCGTCTGATTGGGCTCTGACACGGCGCACGTTAAAATCTGGCTCGACCGTCACAGTACTAGACCCGTTTTTCCAGATGAGAGATTGGCGGCGGGTGGAAATTTGGAGCTGGGCACAGAGCCTGCGACATAGCCTGGACTCCGAGCGTATCCTGCACTCCACCACCTCCAACGAGCTCATTGCGCGAGCCTCGGGCACCGTAGCACGACGCGCTGGTCACCACAGGGGCGATCGTAAGCGATGGCATACACGCCATACTTACGACCAGGATCCCCTGGGGTTGGTAAGATTGGCGGCGCAGGTAAAGAACACAAGCGCATTTGCTGTTGAGCTTATTGGTGGCATCGGGGTTGTCGGATATCTTGCGCTCTGTCTGATGAAGCCTGATCTCGCGGATCGAAACGTTCGACTATTTTCGCCGTCTTTCTTCGCCGTTTAGACTATTTTATACTTCCCTTTGCACTTTTGGAGCAGCGAGGGGCTGTCGCTGATATACCCCACTACCTCTGGTTATTTGTCCTGTGAAATAGAGCACATTCAAATCCTGTTCTCATTGTTTATGTGTTCCGTTGATAGTGCCAAGTTAGTAAAGGTTGGTATCATTTCTTGGTTCATTAAGGACTTTGAATGAAATGATGTTGAATGATCGTGGCAATGTCGTACGAGTTCATTGGTTCACTTCCTTCTCCTCCGTCACAATCCCACTGCCTGCGCGGCGGAATTGATGTCCGGCAGGTCATCGGCTGCTTTAGAAGCGTGGGCGTAGCGCACCACGCCGCCCTCGTCGACAGCAAACGCGCCGCCAATCTTCCAGCGAGTGCCACTCTCTGTTGGCCGGTTCCAGACGCCCTCGTCAGTGCCCAGGCGGTACACGGAATAAAGCACTGAGGGACCGGACATGTGCCACACGTCGCTCAGTCCGAGACCCCATTGCGCGTACAAGTCCCGCCCCTCGTCAATGACTACATCGGTCGACCACGCGCCGCCAACTTGCGGGATCCATTTCTCTGTAGTCTCAGAAGATGAGTGCGACACGGCAATACAGTGAAGACCAGGTTGCCTGTCGGACAGTGTGGACAGCTTCTTGAAGACTTTTTCGGCGACTGCGAGTGTTGGTTTTGCTATATGATTGTGCGTGGAGGTAATGCGACTTACAAGGGCAGCCGCAGTGGCGGAGGAATACAATGACAGTTGGCTTGCCATCAGTCAGAGAGATCTTGTCCGAGCTCGGAGCAGCGGCGCCAACCTCGGGGACTTCTGCAACTTCCTTCTTCACAGGTGACTTGAGGGACTCGACTTCTGCCCAGAAGCCGCGTTTGGCGCTGAGGTGGGTTGGTATTGACGCCCGTAACCTGGGTGGAATCAGCCATGTTACGGGGTTATGAGATGTATTGGAAGAGAGAGATCATAGCCCGCTCATTTTGCCATGATCCACCATGATCCAGGCCCGATCGATAGCTTTCTGGCGATAAGTTGATTGCATAGGACAGCTTCAGGTTTATGACGCAAACCTTAGTCAGCCGATGCAGAGAGGCTTCTCCATTGGTGGAGCTACCCTACAGATGTTCAAAGTACTTGTCGTGGGGCTTCTGGTCTTCATCGCAGCATCTATAGTTTGATTTCTCGGGTTATCAGTTTGTTTCTTCTTGACCCGGTGTCTTTGCTTCTCGGGTTTCATATACGCCAGCACTATCAACGTTGCTGTTTTCTCGCGTGAGCTCTCAGTTTTCATATACATCAGCACTATCAACGTTGCTGTTTTCTCGCGTGGATAGGTCCCTCCGTTGCCTCTCCATCATGAGAGAAATCCTGACACTACAGCTCGGCCACCTGAGCAACTACGTTGCCACACACTTTTGGAACACGCAAGAATCGTACTTCACATACTCAGACACTGAAAGGCCGTTTGTTGATCACGATGTACACTGGCGTGCCGGCGTAGGCGCGGATGGATCCGATACCTTTCTCCCTCGAACCGTGGTTTATGACTTGAAAGGTGGATTCGGCTCGCTGAGGAAAATAAATGCGCTGTATGAGGTTGAACCCGATGCGGAGGTAATGTTAAATACAATCTGGTAAGTCATGGTGTACCTATTATTGGAACGTCTGTTCCCAGCTGACACGAACAGGGCTGGCAAATCTGCCGTGCATAAGCAAGAGCCTCTACAGCAGAGTGTTTACCTCCAGAGTCTCGATGCGGGAAGTACGCCAGATAAGTTGGCACAATCCAACGTCCGATACTGGTCAGATTTTTCCCGGACATATTACCACCCGAAGTCGCTCAACCCGCTATACGACTATGAGCTTCACTCATCTATCCAGCCGTTTGAGCGCTTTGACATGGGCAAGGAGCTGTTCCACACTCTAGACAAGGAGCAAGACATAGTAGATCGGGATTGGCGCCCATTCGTGGAGGAGTGCGATCACATGCAGGGAATTCAAGTCATTTCCACCATTGACGATTCCTGGGGCGGATTCGCATCATCGTATCTCGAGACGCTGCGAGACGAATACCCCAAACAGTGCATCTGGGTCTGGGGTATCCAGAGCCCCCTGTTAGGTATTTCCCGGGAAAAGCGCCGACTACGGTCTACGAATACAGCACACAGCGTCAATGAGATTTGCCAACAGGCAACGATGTTTGTTCCCCTGTCCCTTCCCGAGCGCCACTTCCCACGCTCGGTCAAGGTCGACTACAGCTCGCCGTGGCACACATCGGCACTCCTATCCGCAGCCATGGAGACCACGACGTTGCCGTCTAGGCTCTTACCTCAAGCAGGTGGTAGGGAGCGGGTGTCTTTGGATGAAATCTCGCAAATAGTCAACACAACGGGCGCGCAGACCCTGGCCGGCCAGAGAATGGGACTGGGAGCCAGGGACGCCGATTTCGAAGAGATGGACAGTTTCGACATTGATTTGTTTGGAATCGGCCGTGTGGACAAAGATGGCCTTGAACGCACGAAACGAATCTTCGGCAAGTCGATATCGTCACGTGGCGAGGCTAGGCAAGACCCGGAAGCAGAGGAGGGCGAAAAGGAATCCAGGCGCCGCATCGGTGACCCGATAGTGAAGAGGTAGGCATTTTGATATCGAAAGACAAGCCAAAGGCTAATGCGGGAGGCCTAGATTCGATACCGCACTCAAGTTTCCGATTTTGAGCAGCTATCCCGACATTTTCCCAGACGATGCCGACCAAGAAAGCATCTCGCTACAGACGGCGCTCTTCACTGACCAAAGCATCTCGACGCGCATGAAGGCGCTGATGAGGCAGGTAACGAGGGCCGTCGGGAACGAGGAGAGAGAGACGCTGTCCAATTCTCTAGCGGAAATTGGGGATGCGTATCATGACGACTGGTCAAGCGGAAGCGATGACGGCGAGGATGACTAGACATTTGGTCATATGAAGATCCGCGAAAGCATGTACGGAAGCATGATGAAAAGAAAGATCTCAAAATCAAATACGCTGCATTTCAGGGAGTAGATGTCTAACGACTATATATCTAGGGACAACTCCAACCTGGGCCGTAGCAAGGCCCCCCCGAAAAAAAAAACCCCCCAAAAACGAATCTGGCCTTGTTGTCTCGCGGCAAGACCAATTCTCGACATTGTCAAGCAGGGCCTGGGTCTGATTTTGATACATATTTTTGTTTATCATTGCGATGATAATTTTCGTTTCTCCGGTTGCTGCTCATTTTGGTATACTGTCCAAACTTTCGAGTTGCTAGGGAAGATTTTGGGCAAACAAACTAGGAAGGTCGCCGATGTTCGACTGTGTAAATTTCTTCGCCAACATGGCTGTCATCCAACGTTTTTCTTCTCGCCTTCGCCGCTCGCTACGGCCGTGTGCAAGCACTCTTTATAAAAGTCAGCCAGAAATGGAGGTGATAAGGGGTTTCCGCACGGGTCAATGAAGATCAAGATACCCTAGCTGGGCATGAAAAATGGGCGTCTGCTCGTGGCGAAGGTTCGGTAGCTGCCATTTGCAACAGCTTGATACAATCAACCGGCGGCCGCAACGGATGCCTGCTGTCGCTTCGCAGGTGGTTGGTTGTCCTGTACATATATTAGTGTTCTGTTCTGCTTAGGAGGGATATACTTCGACCGCTTTAGCCACAGCGTAGAAGATTGCAAGTAGCGGCATTACCTCGGTGGCGCCACGCTTCTTCCCGTTGGCGCCCTTGGAGGACTTCTTTTGAGGCTTCTTTTCACCTGCTTCAAAAACGTCGTCCGGAAGGTTGAAACTTCGCTTGTGAGCATATGACGGCAGCTCGCAAGTGGGGTAAACGTACTTGCGCACATGTTGAACTCCGATAGATACCACCGGCTTCAATTCCTCCTGGTACTTCTGCCATGTAGTGCATAATACCTTAAATTCGTCGACTTGGTATGACAGATCAAGAGATTTGGCACCTGGTACTAATGTCAGACAAAATTCTTCGCGGCCAAGAGAAAACAAACCTTCTTCTAGCTCAAGGCCAATGTAATGAGTCGTGGTGAAGACCTCGGAGAGCGTCTGCTTGTCTTCACCATCGGCGGCTAGAGTAGGCTCGCCATTCCTTTCGCTACTCTCGATGTCCAGCTGAACGTTACTAGAAACAACAAAATCGAGGCTACCCTCCTGCACTTGCTCGATTTGCTTTTCATTCTTGCAAATGTGCCTTCGTGAGTAGCCCTTGACATACGGGTGTGCCAGAGCAATGTGAGGGTGCTGCTCCAGTTTTTGCACAAGCATTCTGACCTTGGATTCAATATACCCTGCCCATAACTTATGCGGCTCCTTTGCTTTACTGGCCGAGACCACTGAGATGTAGTACTTGTAACCTGTAGTGAAAAACGTGTGTTTGACAAATAAGTCGCTCCAAGGCTGCTTTCCTACCATCACCTGCTCTGAAATCTCGAGTCCGCGTTGAAGCTCTCGCTTGATGATGCTCATCGAGGATCGCGTGATGTTAAAGGTAGCGCACATAGATGGGTACGCTGGGGTAATGATGGGCATCAAGTGAAAGGAATCACCCTTGTACACTTTGGGGTTCCAGACGCGGACTGGAAGAGGGCCGTTCTCGATAGGCTTGAGTAACACCGGCTGGGGCCATCGCCACTGGCTCATGACCAAGAAGAATTTGTTGACAATCACCGAGGTGGCGGCTTTGGGATACAGCTGACAGACTCTGGCGACAAGCATAGCCCAGGCGACACCGCCTGGGAAACCCATAATGTTCCCGTATACTGCTCGACGCTGCGCCCAGAGCTTGATAGCTCTCAGGGCCAGTCTGAAAGTGCTCTGTTCCGGAACCAGAGATAGAATCTCGTCCGTGACTCGGGTGCCGTTGAGGGAGCGGAGCTCCGCTTCATCAAGACCACGCAGAAAGCCAGAGTCTCTGAGGTCTGTGAAATCGGGAGCAAGTTGCTTCTGGATGATCCGAGAAAAGATCAAATCGATGCTGATGCCGGAGTACTCGAACTTGATGATAGGCACAAAGGCATCAGTGACGGCCGTGATATCGGTAATAGAGTCTTTGGGCGCCATCTCGGTGAGGAGATCTGGAAAGTATTTAAAATAATCTTCGCGCGTAACATATTTCGGAGCAACAATTAGGGTATCGATATCGGAACCGGGACCAAAGACACCGAGGCGAAAGCTACCGTAGGTAAATACCTTGCCTCGTGCATTCTTGATGAGAATATCGTTTTTCGGTTCCTTTTCACGGGCGACCTTTTTCACGAACTCGTCTGTAATTATCTGAAGCGACTCGAGAACGGTAAATCTGTTGTGTTGAAACATCGTCAAAGGCTAGATCGAACTTGGCAGCAGTGTCGTTGAGCGTACCTGTTTTGCGTATCGGAGGGACTCTCAAAAGTCTTTTGACGACGGAGTTCCTCGATCAAAGATTCGCTAACCCGCTTCTCAATCTCTGTTGGCAGCGACACCGAGATGGGCGGGGTGACGCCGTAAACTTGCTCGCCGCTCATCGTTGCCTAAGCTAGTGATTGGCAACACGATGGACCCAGCCGATTCGAAACGGACGACACAAGGTCGTGACGACTGGAACCTATCCTGCCAATGGCAGGCTCCCTTTGACTGGCCAACGAGATAGGCTTCGGGATTGTTGGGCTGGCTTCGGGCGGCGGCTAGACGAAGGTGTGATCTAAAATGCCTGGGAGACGGAATATGCCTGGCAAGCTTGGATGTCAAAGACAATCTTTAGTTAGTGCCTGTCGCGCGCCAGCCATCTCGCTGTCGAGTTGGGTCTGGTTTGGCAACGATTGGACCACAGGAGCAGGAATAATATTTTTCCCGAGAGCAGGCAGAGGTGATGCTCCCGCGAGTACAAAGGGAGATGGCTGCAGGTACACAAAGAGTGGAACTGAGTACAAAGACCTCATGCAGATTCGCGCATAACTGTGAGTCCTCATACGCCAGCTACACGTAGCTTGGTGGGGCGCTTTTGTACTCAGCTGTCATAGTTAGCCTTTTTTCGCCCTGCACTCTAAACGCGAACGCGGTGCCCTGACAAAGGGATCTGTAAACCAGAATCTTGAGAGAGCCACCGCCATCATTTCTCCCCGTTCTCACACCTCGCGCACAAGTTACATACTGGCTGATACATAGCGCATAGTATTCATGTGCTGTGCTGAACGAAGGGTACCATTATTCTATACGTCAGGTAAGCCTGAATTCCTCATCGAATTGAGGCGTCGCCGCTGCACTGCCCACATCTGGCATCATGCCACCCTCGGCGAAAAGAGCCCAACGCGGTCGTCGAGAACTGCGCCTCGGGAGAGATGTGAAAACGATTCAACCTACAGACGCCGAAATGGGACCTTCATCATCGCCAACGCGACCCGCCAAGCGCCGCAAGAAGGTCGCAACGCCCGAACCCGACCGAAGATCGTCCAACATCGATAGCGATCACGGACCGCCTACCGATGATGACCAGATTGTGTCCCAAGTCACGCAGCAGCTCAAGTCTCAGGCTGTACAGGCGAGCAAAGATCACGCGAATGCCATTTATGAAGCCAACGGCGATGGCGTCAAGGCGTACGCCAAAGTTGCCGCCCAAGACTGGACGTTCTATATTACAAAGCTTGCTGTCAATATCGGACGCGCTCCCGAGGGTCAAGGTGCTGAAGAAGACGCAGCAGAGCGAGACTACGTGCATATTGATCTAGGCCCCAGCAAGATGGTTTCCCGAGCCCACGCGGCCATCATCTTTGACTCGAAAGACGAAAAATGGCTACTTCAGATCAAGGGGCGAAACGGGGCCAAGGTCGACGGCCAACCCTTGAAATGTCGCGTCAGTCACCCACTGACGAGCGGTGAGGTTATCGAGATTGGAGAGGTCGAGATGATGTTTGTGCTGCCGTCGGAGATAACCCCTCTGCATGTTCATCCTACATTCCTACAGAGGAGTGGTTTGCCCGCAGACATGCCCACTTCTCGGCGCCAACCAGCGATTGCTCCCGCCACGGCCGACTATAAGCGACCAGGTACACCACCCCCGACACGGCGAAATGACTTCAAGTCACCCGCTGTCAGCACTCCTGCCGTTATCATCGGTGCCAGCGGTGTCGATCTCAGCATTGATGACAATCAGCACATTAAGCCGCAATATAGTTACGCACAGATGATTACCCAGGCGATTGTGAATGCACAGGACGAAAAGCTGAATTTAAACGGAATTTACACCTATATAATGGACACATATTCATACTATCGCAATCAGCAAGCAGCAGGCTGGCAGGTAAAAGTTATTCCTCGTCTCGACTACTGGATGCGTGCTAATCTTCTCAGAACTCTATTAGACACAATCTATCTCTCAACAAGTCCTTTGACAAAGTTGCTAGGTCCACCGATGAACCCGGAAAAGGCATGAAATGGCAGATCGTTCCCGAGGCTCGAGAAGAGATGATTCGTAATGCGTACAAGGTTGGACGTGGTGGACATCGTGGATCCTCTGCGCCCTCGTCGCCGAACCAACTCAACTACATCACGCAAGGACCGAAAGATATGGCCGGAAGGGATACACCGACCGGCAGGAAGCGTCGAGCCTCTCCTCTGACTTCGCCCGTTCCGCGATCCTCTCTGCGCATGTCGCAGTCAACACCGAACCGTTCTGATCGCTCGGGGTTGAACGCAACTTTGACCGCAGACGGCAGCCCGCTTCCAAGACCGCGAAAGACGATGGATGCAGAGTCCTCGTTTGCGGGTTACCAACCGCAGTCACCGACTCTGACATCGTCGTATCAGGATGACAACTCGGCATTTGTTACCCCTGCGCCCCCGCGCATACACCCCAGGCTTGCACCTCCCAGCACCGCGCAACGACCAAGCCAGCACATGCCCACTAGCTCTCCCGCACCATTCTGGAGGTATGCTGATATAGGGAGCACGCCACTCAAGCCAATGGCTCCTTATGAGAGCCCGTCCAAGACAAGAGGGCCGATGCCGCCTCAGAGCAGTAGTCCACCGCCCATGGGAAAATCACCCCCAAGCAGTCCAACACGGCCCCAGCTGCCACCGCAACAGACGGTACAGGAGCCTAACGCGGCCGAGGTAGAGGAGGAAGGGATTGATTTGACAAAGTACGTAAACCGCCTAATTTGTATGGGGCTGAACTTACTGACAATATACAGAGGATTTCAAAGTATAAGCGCATATCATGCTCCTGTAGGGCGAGGGTTACCAGTACCGACAGCGCTGAAGGGAAATACATGATTTTTGGGGATGTAAAGGAAGACGAAAAGAACGTGCGACATATTTAACGAATTCAGTGATGGGAAATTTATACTACAACATACCGAATGTATCCGCCAAAATACCAGCGTACCTGACTGAAGTCATGATGGCAGACTCGCCGCTCCGTCTTTGGCGGCATTGCGCAAGCCTTGCAGGCAAGGCCAAACTTACTCATGGCCCTGCTTGAAACTTGAGATTTTTCTCACTTTATGTCTGCCGTTCGATTTCGATAGAAATATAATCTAGCCGGTCCGTAAGCACTTGTGGCTGGTCGAATTCACCGAGCCTGTTGCTAAATTGCACCCGGTCTTATTGCTTAGGTAGCCGCAACCGATTAGCACGCCTCTTTAGTGTGCCGGAGCACAAGTCGCGAATTCACCGACTAGGCTGACACAAATCCCCGGGTCGCCTCGTCGTCTGAAGTTCGTGGTGTAAGTCGAGCTACAAGAAGAGAAGGCTGCTGTTTCTCAACATTGTTACTAACTCAACTCCAGATCAGAAAAAAGCACATTCCTGGATCAGCCTTAGCGAATACCTTTATCTCGGTATCAGCACCTTGACATCCGCCATGTCTAACGCAGCTGTCAACGTTTCCATTATTGGAGCTGGCCTGGCCGGCCTCACCCTCGTCTTGGCCTTGCATTAGCAGTCTATACCCGCCACCGTATACGAATCGCGTTTAATGCCGCTCAACATTGGCGACGCCGTCATGCTCTCGCCCAACGCACTCAAGGTTCTTGGAGCGCTGGACCTCTACGACACAGTGCGCACCAAGGGCTACAATTTTGACAGCCTTGAGTATCGCGACCTGGATGGGCGCCTGACCAAAATTCAGGAATTTGGCGGCGTGGAATAGTACGGCTACCACGGTCTACGTATCTACCGCTACGTCCTGATCGATGAGCTGGTCGCCGCGCTGGCTAAGGGTGGCGTGGTGGTGGAATACGGCGCCAGATTCTCCCATGTGGAAAAGGATACCGCGGAAGGCGTATCCTTTGCGTTGACGGATGAGAAAAGCATAGAGACCTCACTTCTTGTTGAAGCCGATGGTATCCCCTCGGCGGTTCGCAAACACCTCTATCCGGGCCTCGAGAGTACTTTTGTTGGCATGGCAGGCATCACCGCCGCCGTGCCCACCGCGCAGCTCCAGCTCCCCGATGGCTACCACATCCCCGTTACTATTGTCTCTCCGCAGGGTGCCTTTGTCACCGCTCCGCAGAAAACTGACGGCTCAGAGGCGCTCATCGGCAAGCAGATGCGTCTCGCGCCAGCTGAGAGGCAGCCGGGCTGGGACCGTGACTTTGTCGCCGAAAAGCAGTCGGCGATTGCGTTACTGCAGGGTGCAACGGGCACTTTCCGAAGTTTGTGCGCAACGCAAAGTCGCACATCGAGCCGAGCAAGGTCAACAAGTGGCCATTTTTCGTAGTGCCCAGGCTCGATCGCTGGACGTCTGAGACGGGCAGCGTCGTGATTCTCGGCGATGCGGCGCACGCGATCCCCCCGTCCGCGGGGCAGGGCATTAACTAGGCTTTCGAGGATGTTTATATGCTGGCGCTAGTTCTGGGCCGGAGACAAAAGATCGAGAATATGGCCCCGGCGCTGCGGTTTTGGCAGATATATCGCCAGGGTCGTGTGGACAAGGTGTTGGAGCTGAACAACGAGATTGACCAGCGGAGAATGCCGTCGACGGACGTTGTAGTGGGCGAGGAGAATGGTTTACGAAACCCGGATTTCCAAAAGGATGCCATGGATTGATTGGGTTGCCAAGTCTGAGGTCTAGAATGATGTTTGATACAGGAAGGGGGAAGCCGACTGAATACTTTCAGCGCTGAATTGTAGCAATTGACTACGTATCTTATTCAAAATGTCTGAGTGAAGATGGTGATTATTTTAGGACTTGTGCCAAGCCAGGCACGTATTGTTAATAGTACATCAGAAGTGGCGTTTCAGAACTGGCGAGACTACGCCGACCCACCAATGGCCGCCACCAACCTATTGCTCCAGAAGCCATATCCATGCGAACCAAAACCCATGAAAATCGCCCAAACAAATGTGCAGCCATTCAACCTATACATTTACATTTTCCCAACCGTCTATGTCAACGCTATGCAACACTAAAATGATACAGAAGGCTCAAGCAGCTTGGCCTCGCCTCTTGGGGTTGCCACGACCGGTGCGCTTCTTGGACTTGCCCCCCTGATCACCTTCGATAAACTTGATCAACTCGTCGATGCTTCGAGAGTCCACCCTGGAGCTACCGCGCTGCTGGGGCGTGGGGGCGAGCGTCTGGGAAGGCGCGCGAATGCCGGACTTGATGCGGCGTTCCTGCACATCCTTGGCGTGTTTGGCAATCGACACGGCGTTTTGCGTCAGCTGCTCCAGCCAGCTTTCGGCCTCCTTCGTATTTTTGTCGTCGGCGCCGAGTTCACTCAGGAAGATGTTGTAAGACTCGCGCATGCGGTTCACAGCTCCCTTGGAATCATGATCAAGCGCCAGTGCCTGTGCGAGCTGGAACAATAGAGTGGCTGAATTGACAGACTGCTTTCCAAATACGGACTCGCAAACCCGGAGAGACTCCTCGAACCACAGTCGGGATTCGTGGTATTCTTTCAGGTGCTGCAGCATCACGGCGGCGTTGTTGATGGTTGTAATGGAGTCGGGATGTCCAGGACCGTAGATAATTTTCCACAAATCTAGCGCATGCTTGGAAAAACAAAGGGCAGATTTGCTATCGCCGGCTTGGTGGAGAAACAGGCTGAGGTTCAAATAGTTAAGGAGCGTCTCAGCAGAGTCCACACCAACGGTGCGCTCAGACACAATGATGGCTTTGCGTGCGAGCTCTACAGCAGCCTCCTTGTCGTCCAGCTGGTAGTACAGCATAGACAGACTGTTGTAGACTCGGGCCACTTCAGGATGCAGGATACCGTAGATTTGCTCATGAAGAGACAGCGATTCCAGAAGGAGTTCTTGTCCAAGCTTCTTCTGGTTTTGCAGGATAGAGATCCTACCAGCTTCGAGAGCCTCCTCAGCCAAAGCACTGCGCGGGCAGGAATGCTTCACAATAGGAACAATGTCGATGAAGTCATCTGGACTGAAAGTGGAGGGAGGAGTCTGCAGAGCAGAGGGAGAGACATCCCGGGTACCCTTCTTCTTCTTGCTCTTCTTGGCATCTCCTTGGGCCTGAGCGTTGGCCTGCGCGGGTTCGCTTGCGCCATTGGTGCTGCTGGAATCCAGGACTGGGCCTTCAAAAACATAGTCCTTAGCCTCAATCTGTAGACCCAGCTTCAGTGAGATCTCACGGAGCAGTTGAACAGGACGAAGACTCTCGATCCACTCAGGCTCCAATCGGTATCTGTATCGCTTCAAGATTTCCTCTTCGATGTTACGACGCAGGCTCTCGGGTGTAACGCTCTCAAAAGAGAAGTCAGTTTCTTTGTAGATCGATCGAAGCTGAACATTGACCTCGCAGCGAGGCTTAGCATTGACCTTGTAGCCCAAAAGGCAGTTGAACAAGTGGGCAATGCAAGCTGGGGTAAAGGCGAGAGGGAGTGCACGAATATAAGTGGCTGAAACGTGCTTGAAGGCACGAGACACCATGTCCTGGATACAGATAGCACGTAGACACTTGAGCCTGCCATCAGTAGCAAGTGATGCCACATGACCAAGATATCGAATGTTGATACCACGCTTGTGCAGGAGACGGCTAAGAGACTGACCATCCATGGGAAAGCTTACGTCGGAATCGGACAGCTCGCGAAGCAGGCTAGGGATAACCTGCTCGCGCAGGTATGTGCAAGCAGCTCGTACCTCCTTCTCATCAGCTTCCAGCTCGGCCGTCTCCTCGGCCGTCTGCGGCACCTGTCCACTGAACACATCGGGGTTGAGGGAGAACTTGAACTTAGACAGATCGGGCTGCCAGGAATCTCTTTCTTTAGCGTTTTCAGACTTTTCCGACTCGCCATCACTTTCCTTGGCGTGCTCTGCAATTTCCTTTTCGGCCCATTGCTTCATGCGGAAGCGACCAAAGGAATCGACCAGCTCAGGGCGGAGAACTGTCATGCGGTGAGGATAGCTGGCAGAGGACTCCGCTTCCTCTGCCTTTTCCTCCCGCCATGGAATATCGAATGGTGTGATTCTGTACAGATCGAGGATATATTTGCGACCATCAGTGCCCATCAGACCCTTGGTCTCAACACTGGCCTCCAGGTCAAATTTTGTTCCGTCCTTGTCCCATACGGCGTGAGGCTTGACCTTGAGTGCTTTTGACAGCTTACTAAATGGGCCAGCAAAACGCTCATCAGCCGCGACGATGTCTTTGCCATCAACTGCGCCATAGTCGATCTGGTTTTCGCCAGGCTCGCGCTGCTTGAAGATGCCAGGCACAATGCTCTGGCCGACAATACGTTTCCCGATATAGTCCACAACAACAGTGGCGGGAGTGAAGAGGCCGTCGATGTCAAGCTGGTTCACTAGCCGTACACCAGCAACGTCCTTGCCGGTGGCAACCCGTGCGGCCTCGTCGCCTCCTTCAGAGGTGAATGTCCCAACGCCATCAGCTCCGAAAGAGAAGAAAATGTTGTTGTAGACGAAAATTTGAGCATCAGTGCACTCCGTAGGGTTCAGAGGGGCAATTTCGCCACGAGCGACCATGACGGCGCCCTTGGTGGCAGCATCGTTGTAGTCAGCAAATAGCTTGGAGATGAGTCGCTCTCGGAAGACCCTGTCCTGAACGGTATCCTTAGGAAGTTCCTTGGCGGACTGGAATTCCTCGTTCCAGTCTCGCAGGGTGTCTGTGTTGTCGACGCCGGCTAGAAGATAAGTCTCCTGAGGTCGCGTAGCATCTGGCATGTGGGCACAGAGAGCTGAGTTGGGCGAGGGGACCACCCACGGAGCAGCTGGGATTGCGTTGGTAATCTGGAAGGTGGAGAGGGGGTCCTTGGTATTGTTGTAGTCCTGCAGCTGCTGGAAAGTCTCGCTGAAGGAAGGCGAGATGAGCTCGATGAGCTCCAACAGAGAGTGAGCGGCCTGGCCCTTGGGTGCTGGGCGCGGGAAAGGGTCGAACTTGGCGTTGGAAGACTTGTTGACGTAGAAGCCAGACACGTGCGCCGTTATTTGAAATTGGTCGCCTTCGTTGGTCGTCACGATGATATAAAGCAGGTGGCCGCGCTGTCTCAGATGGCAAGGAGGAGGGTTCCAGGTCGACAGAGAAATGGTCTTGACCGTCTTGGGGGCGGTGGTTGTCTGCTCAGGAACAAGACTGGACAGAGGAGGGATCCCTTGGAAGTCATAGTCTTCCTTTGGAGACTGCTTCTCCGTGGGGGATTCCTTGGACTCGTCGGTGGGCTGCCGGGCATCGGCGCTTGCAAATTCGAAGAGAGAGGTCCCGGCCAACACACCTTGAGTGGTATCAACTCGATCGCCTGCAGCACCGATGAGCTCGCGAATGCGAACGAGGTGAATGCGCGCCTCCTTTTCGGTGTAAGGGTCTTCGACGACGTGAAACTCTGGGTCGGGTCCAATTCCGGGGATCTCGGCAATAGAAATGAAATCCTGAACCTTTACTCCCTGGAACTCGAGGTGGAAGCAGGTGTATCGAAACGCGGTAGGGAGGTCGATAATGGACTGGCGAACCTCGTGCACCTGTTCTTGGGATGATACCTGTTATTGCGAGTTAGTGCCAGCCGTCAGAAAGACACCGAAAATAAGGAAGAATTACCATTATTTGCATTTTGGAGGGCTTCGAGCCGGGGAGCACAATCGTGACGTTAAGGAGAGCTATTGGAGTGTAAGCAAGAGGTGACACTTTGACGGCACGCGACAGACGGACGCTCTACTCCAGCACCATTTTCGACATCATTGGAGGTTTCCGAGGCGGAATTGACATCATTGGCGGCATCAACTGCACAAAGTTAGCTCCATGTCACCTGTAGGAGAGGATAGCCACGGCGGATAAGGTAGTTTACCTGGACTGTCTTGCGCCTGGCCCGCGTTCTCAGCTGCCATCTTTTTGGCACAAGCAAAGAAAGTAGAGGAGGAGAAGGGATTGACCAGTAAAATGAAGAGGATACAATGGAGAGGAAGCAAGCCAAAGGAACCTGGCCACACTCGACTAGAAGGCTTGGGCAATTGAACTGCTAAATAGTCGACAGGAGTATGAAAAAATTGGGCGACAGACAATTTGCCGCTACACCGGAGAGTGCGGGTGTGGAGTACTACTGGCCACCAGAGACCCCAGCTTTTTCCATGGTGTCTCGTCCAGGATAAAGTACACCTGTTCCATACCATTACAATACAGTACATGCGTTTGGCTGCGAAGTACTAGGTGTACTAGGTACATACGCGAGTAAGGCCTGTTTTTAGACAGGGTACTAGACAGGTCGTTTTTTTAATAGATAATTTTCCCCTATTACAACGCTATTAACATCTCTAACATAGCTTATAAAAAATATATATATTTTTTAACATATACTAACAGCCTAATAGCGTTATAATAAGGGAAAATTATATATTAAGTAGAAAACATATCTAGTGCCCTATTAGAAAATAGGCCTTATATATATAAGTAGGTACCTAGGTACCTACCTAGTACCTAGGTGTGTAATAGGGGATATGCCTAGTGCCCTGTTGGACCACTTTTATATAGTATATATGTAAGTAAGGCCTATTTTTAGATAGGGTATTAGATAGGTCTCTTTTTTAATAGCTAATTTTCCCCTATTATAATACTATTAGGCGTCTAATATAGCTTCTAAAAAAATATAAAAGATCTTTAACATATAGTAGTAGCCTAATAGTGTTATGATAGGGGAAAAAAACATGTTGAGTAGAAAACGTGTCTAGTGCCCTATTAGAAAACAGGCCTTACGCGTGTAGGTATGTATCTAGTACCTGTCTATTGTAGGTAGATACTTTGGTACCTCTTTAGGTACCTTTCTTGCATGCTGTAATGGAAGTACATTTCTAGAAGATGGAATATATAGTAAACCAGAAATCCGATATACTAAAGCAAATCGGGTCTCAGCAAGTGTATAAATCGACTTACTATAAGGACTACTCATTGTGTGTCACGCTACCTAGGTAGGTAGGTACCTAGGTAGGTAGCTAGTATGTCACAAGACGCGATGTTAGCTAAGATGGGCTACCCTGGTTTCGGGCAACAACCCACCTTTCTCCGCCAAGCTCATGGGCTCTGCATCTTCATCTCCAACAAGAGCGGCTGGAAATAGGCATATATTTACCCTTTCACTGTTGTTGCTAGGAAGCGCTCAATATGACGTCGCGTGGGGCCGTTTTGTTCCTGGTGGCCATGATGCTACTGACGGGTGTCTGCAACACACTCCTCACCAAGTACCAGGTAAATTGGCAAACTACCATTTCCTCCACAGTGCGAAAGAGGGACAAGACAAGCGTCTATAATACTGTTGCTGACATGTGCGTGTCTAATCCATAGGATATGCAATGCGTGCGACACTGTGATGGTGACCCCGATAAGCGGAAACTCTTCAATCAACCCGTGCTCCAGACGGCCCAAATGTTTGTCGGCGAGATGGGCTGCTGGCTTGTCATCGGGCTCATGACGCTTTACAACCGCTTCTTTGATACTGCCTCCGCCGCCGCGAATACGGAGTACCGAGCTATAAGCACCGACGATACAGCTGATATTGGCCCAGACACCGAGGAGGAGGAGGAGGAACACGGCCGCAAGGGTGGCCTGCTCAAAGGCTTTGGCATCATCCTGCTCGCGTTGCCTGCCATTTGCGATATTCTAGGCACGACGCTGATGAACGCTGGTCTGCTTCTGGTGGCGGCGTCCATCTACCAAATGACCCGTGGCGCCCTCGTGCTCTTTGTCGGTCTTTTCTCTGTCATCTTCCTCCGCCGCCACCTCTTCCTCTTCCAGTGGCTTGCGCTCCTCGGCGTCGTCACTGGCGTCGCCGTGGTCGGTCTCGCAGGCACTATCTGGCCAGACGAAAAGGTGCGCCACAGCATGCAGGCTGACGACAGTGAGGCCCTGTCCGACGCCACTCGAGCCATTATTGGTGTTCTCCTGATTGCCGGCGCGCAAGTCTTCACCGCCACACAGTTTGTTCTGGAGGAATGGATCTTGGAGAACTCGCCGATCGAGCCAATTAAGGTCGTAGGCTGGGAGGGCCTCTTTGGTTTCCTAGTGACTGTTGGTGGCATGATTGTCATGCACTTCATTGTTGGCCGCACCGAAGCCGGCCGCTATGGCACGTTTGACATCGTCGAGGGTTGGCGCCAGATGACACAGAACCAGGCCGTGTGGCTCAGTAGCCTGTTGATCATGATAAGTATTGGGTAAGTGGAACGACGGATAGCGCAGTATGCGAGAGATGGCTAACAAAGTACGTCGCAGTGGCTTCAACTTCTTCGGCCTCTCGGTCACTCGTTCAGTCAGTGCCACGTCACGCTCAACAATAGATACCTGCAGAACTCTGTTTATTTGGGTAGTTTCGCTTGGGTTAGGCTGGGAGTCTTTCAAGTGGCTCCAAATTTTGGGTTTTGTCATCCTGGTGTATGCGACGTTCCTCTTCAACGGCATCGTGAAGCCGCCACTGAAGTTTCTGCGCGTCAACGAGGAGGTTGCACCTCTGCTGGCAGAAGATCCTATTGAGCGCCCATAGTTTAGCAGGCTACGCACCTATGAGTCAGGTGTAGAGCTTGGCCGATTTCCTTTTTTGGCTATGCAATATCGCCAAGGCATATGGGTTGGAGTCGCAAAAGTGCTAAACTCAACGTAGAGCGTGATACATTTGAATATTGTCAATTTAAATATGAACTCGCTGATAACTTATGATGCGATGTGCGCTGTGACCAAACGCCAACTGAACCAACGCCATATGGAGGGCCGAGTGAATGGAACGTATACTGCTCTTCGGCCCAGTCCTAAATAGACTCCCTACAGGCGAAGAACGAAGAAGATTCGATAAACCAAAACAATCTCATAGAGACTCCCGTACAGGGCCGTGGGCGCAATCAAGCAACGTTGCACAGCAACTCAGCTTCGAGGATGAATTTGCCCTCCTTGTACTTTTGTGTATTTTCATACGCCTTGTCATATTTCCAGCCAACCGTCTCCTTGCATTGCCGGCATGTGATGTCACAGACAATGTGCCTCCCCGTGGTCATGTTTCGCTCGCTCGGCTCGCCAGTTTCAATGTTGACGACGCTGTGAAAGAGGTAGGCTTTGCCGTGCTGACCTCGAAAGTTCTTCTGGAATGGTTAGCACGGGAAAACATGTATTTTCGTCCGTCGGCTCTGGCTCGGCATCTATTAAGCGCCAACTGTGGCCTTGTCCTGCCTGCCGGGCATTCCGTGGCTGGCTTCGACGTACCCTACTGATGATGTCTTCATGGTTGGCCAGATGGGCCTTGCAGGCTTTGCAACCATATATTTTGGTGCTGTTGAGGTAGGTATTGTAGGACAGGCCCATGGTTCCCGCGGCCGGTTGCTGCTGGTTTGGTGCTGGTGTTGGCGTTGTTCAGGGCGCCGATTTGTCTGGTGACGTCGTGGCTAATGGAGCAGTTGAGCAGTGCTTCTCGCTTCCTTGGCCGCCGCTTTGTCGTGAGTGGTCAGAGAGAAAAAGCGTCCGTGTGTCTCTTTTGGGTAGAAGGAGGGTTGTTCACGAGATGTCAGGAACAGTGAGAGACGGTGCGTTGTAGAGGCTCAAGGTGGGCAAAACCACGGAGTGCTTGTCACTGCGGTGGGGTCGGCTCGCTGCTGGCTGAACACTCACAGGGCACTGGACACGTTTCCGGTCAACATGTAATTTTCCCCTTTCACAACGCTGCTGCTATTATTATAATACGTAATAGACTAGGTTTTTTTTTCTAACACATAATAGAAGCCTAATAGCGCTATAATAAGGGAAAATTATATATTAAACAAGAGACCTATCTAATACCCTATTAAAAAACAGGCCTTAACTCATATAGGTACTAAGCTATAGTATAGTCAATATAACTAGCAATACTATAGGGTATATAAGACCTCTCTAAAGCCTATATAACCTCTATAATATATTATTATTATTCTATATATTATAATAGTATAATAATTAATAGTAATATATATAAACCTTTTTTAATAATAATTATAATAAATTAGGCTTTAGCTATACTAGAATTTTTTAATTTTTTTTTTAGTTTTTAGCTTTAGTAGAAACCACTATTCCTTTCTAGGTAGTTAGGCTTTAGTAGATACTACTACTAGGAAGTACTCTTCCTTTATTAATTTATTAAAACTACTATTAAAACTACTATTACTATTACCTTTATCTACCTTCTATTAATAAAAACTAAGCTAGAATTACTATTACTATTACCTATAAGTATTACTATTACTATTACTATTAAAGAAGGCTTTTTTATAATAGTAGTAAGAAAAGGGGTATATCTTAAAGGTTATATCTTAGAAGGGTATATCTTAGAAGGGTATATCTTAGAGTTATATTATAGAGGTTATATTTTAGAATGTTAAGGGATAATTGGTAGTGAGGACGCTACTGTCTTTAATAGCGGCATATTATAGGGTATATAAGACCTCTCTAGAGCCCACACAACCTCCACAATATATTATCATTATCCCACATACCACAATGGCATAACAGATGCCGTGTCTCACTGACCAGACTTGAACAAATTTCAGGCTTCGTGATTGCGATTTATATTTCTTCTCTTATCTTAGGCGAAGCATTATAAATCTTCACTATCCTTTACCAGGCCACCAGCCCCTTTCATTCTCCCCGGCTCACCGTGGCCCTTGTTTAACTCCTTCTTTCTTCTTTCCTCGTCCTTGTCCCCCATATTATTAAAATGGTAGATGCCTCGCTCCCTATCTCTCGCAAGCATTTCCATGTCCGCCTGGCTAACTGGTACACCTTCGACGCCCTTGACAGCCTTGCCTTCAAAGAACATGACGAGCCCAGCAATGATGGCTACAGTGCAGCCCAACCCAACAAAGAGACCCGTAGACCAGCTGGGTCGATCGTATCTATTCATTCCCCACATGAATCCACAGAGGACACACTGAAGCAGCGTGTTGCCCACCATGAACCAGATCACAAAATCGAGCCTCCACAAAGCCGTGGCGGGGGCTCGTACACCAGTCAGAGGTGCATCGGGAGTCTTGTCTTCAGGGTAGGGTATAGGGTCAGAGTCTAGCTTATTGGCTCGATTTGCGACGTTGTCTGGGCCGATGGATGGTTCCAGATCCGTGGATCCCTGTAAGCGGAACCAGCCTCGATGAATTCCTGCCAGCCGTCGAAGGGCAATCTCTTGACCACCCAGTCTATATTTCAGAAGAAAGTAGAGATCCCGGAAGCGCCATGGCGCCAGACCAAACCCCGTGACACAGAATAGGGCATTCAAAATCTGGGAGTCAATCTCGATCCAGATACGGCGAGGGGAGTTGATGTCATTGCAGGTTGGATGGCACATTGCTGGTGCTAAAACAGAAGCGAGTCAGCACACGACACGAGCATTTACATGGCAGAGAGGTCTGTGACGGCTTACATGCGTTGCACAGAAGCAAAAAAAGCATACCACCCCATGCTACAACATTGAGGCCATATAATGTAACAAGGAACCCAACTGGGGTGATGAAGTAGTTACAGAATGTTATGCTCGCGTCTTTCGTGGAATGCCAAAACGAATGCTTGGGCGGGAAGTGGTATCCGTTCGGGAATGCTGCGGTTGCAGTCGGCTCTTGTAACTTTGCGGCAAACAGCTCCGAAGGTGTGCGTGGAGGCTCTTGTTCCTCAGCCACTGAATGTATGGTGTTGTTTCGTATGAGCCCTGGTGATGCCTCTTGCAGTTGGTATGCCGAGTCGCGCCGCTCGATGGACAGGCTTCTCGAGCCTCTGGCGGATCGTCCCGTGAGCATGGAGGAAGCGATTCCTCCAGTTGCAGCCATGAATCCTTCTGGGGGGCCCGATTCCTCAAACGTGACAGAGAGGCGTCGTAGACGACTACTTATGGACGACGATGCGGTGGGTTGGGTGGCGATGGTGGTCCGCCCATCTTCGTGGCCTAGGTTGCGCGCGGCGTCGCTCGTCTCGCCTGCAGCTGGGAACGGTTCAGTGCAATTATGGGAGTCCATTTAAGAGGAGACATCAATGCATAGCCGGGGATGTAGCTGTGTAGTTTCTTGGGGATGAAACAAATAATGGTCGGCCCTGGGTAGGTACCGAAACGGGATATCGCTGGTGTGTGGGGCAAATTCGTGGATCCAGCAACCAGTTTCAATCACAAAATATCCACGGGCAACGACGTAATAAAACCAAGGCAAAACTATGTAGAGAACAAGGCCTCAGATTTCCCGTAATGCGAAAAAAAAAAATCATGCAACAGGAAAACAAGAGAGCCAAACCAGCGGGAGTAGAGGCATATTGGCGGCATGTTGGTGTGGCATGGAAATCGCAACGTAATGGAGGTACATAACTACATAACTACTACCTAGGTAGGTATGAATACATTCTTATCATTACTATTATTTTACGCCTATTATTCTAAGGATAATATCAGATGCCTCTATACCGTCTATCTACGTAGGTAGTGCTGAGCCGGGGTGACGTGGTGAAGTTGGCTTGGCAGCAAACGAATTTCGCGGCGCCACGAACTAATTTTATCCTTTATTATGTGTCAGACGAATACCTACCCAGGTAGGTATGTAGGCAAAGGAAGAATGATCAAGTTAATGTACCAACGTTTCCCAGCGCCCATCAGGGTTTATCTGTGCCTGGGAGGCTCCACTACATAGGTGGTAGGGTAGGTAGGGTAGGTTAACTACCTAACTAGCCTTTCCTCCAGCAGTTTGCAATCACCTTAACTCTTCAACCTCAGCTCTACACTTCCATATCGCACTCTACCGCTCATGTTTTGCAGCTACAACGACTCGAGCTTCCCATCGATATTGTCGAAATGTCATCCCGGATTCAGCAGCCTGAAAATGCGGCCCTTGCTGTCATGAAAAATTTGCAGGACCAGCATGACTGGACAGATCTGGAATTCATCTACCTCAAGGGCCCAACTAGGGCTTTGGTGAAAGGTCTTCCTAGCAAGCGACTATATCTGCATCCAGATGACCAGATCGCAGCGCTTGCACAAGAGCAAGCTACCGGCGAGCGAGTGCCCCAGGAAGCCGTACACGAATTCGTACTACCAGTTCATCTATCGGAAAAATGGTCTCTAGCCGACTTTGCGGCTGTTTTCGACTCGTTCACAAATACGGACACACGCGAGAAGAGGATTGTGCTTGCAACACTGCACAATGACTCTACAGTGGTGTATTACATCATGCAGGAGGGCATGGTCAAGCCACGCCAAAACTAGGTCTGGATTTAACAAGTAATCTTCTATGGAACGAAAACGATCTTGTGGACCTTCATTTGGTCAAACATGTCATACCCACCGACTGCCTCGGACAGCGGCATGATGTTGTCAAACATGAACCTAGAGACGCCTGCTGTCAATCTACATGTCGTCATTATCAACAAAGGCGCTGGACTTACTCTACGTCCTTTTGCTTTTTCTCGAGGAGAGCGAGAGCCTCCGGGAAGATGGAACGGACTGGGCATCTGCCCATCTGGAAACGGACGTTCTTGCTGATGTTCGGTCAGTTTGGGGATCCTGCATGCTTGCACAGCCGCTACTCACGCATAGCCGTCGGCACCACTCCAAGGAATCTAAGAATTGCAGTCAGTCTATGAAAAGCACACCAATAAGACGAATACACATGCTATCTTACCTCGGCATTGTGGACACCAATGCTGCTCATGGCACCAAACGGGCGCACCAAGTCAAATGCCGTCTTCAGGGCGGGCGATAGGCCAACCACCTCGATGACAAAATCTGCGCCACGCCCTCCAGTGGCGTTTCGAACTTGCTCTTTCATCTTGTCAACGCCATCGTCAAAGTTGAGCGGCACAGCTCCAAGTTTCTTGGCCGTCTGCAGACGGCCGTCGACATTGTCAACTGCAAATACCTGCTTTGGGTTGAGATGAAGAGCGCTGATGATGGCACAGATTCCGACCGGACCACAGCCAATGACGACAAAGGTTGACTGCGATATGTCTACCTTTGGCCGCAGTTCTACGGCGCTCTTTACTCCGAAATAACCGGTTGGGAAAATATCAGCCATCAAGACGAGGGCCTTGTCGGAAATGGATTTGGGTGCCTGGATGGCAGTGCTATCTGCCATGGGGATGCGCGTATACTCAGCTTGGCCACCATCGAGAACGGCAGAGCCAAATAGCTTGCTGTGAACACAGCGGGAGGTTGCCTCGTTTTGGCAATAAAAGCATTCGCCACTTTGGGCAGTCAGAAAGGAGATACGGCAGTTACTCGGGTCGGACGAACCAGCAGGTTGTAAACGGAGATACGACCTTATCACCAACCTTGAGAGTCTTGACACGTGCGCCGGCTTCCACCACAATACCGGTAAACTCATGGCCCATGATGAAGCCGGTGTCCGATGGTTGGTGTCCACGGTAGACATGGAGCTCGCTGCAATGCCGTCTTAGCTCATGTATGAAGAAGGTGCATCCAGCTGGGTAGGATGAGGCGATGCCGAACTTACGAGCCACAAAGAGCGGTAGCTTGTACTTTGATGATGATATCGCGGTCATCATTGACTTGTGTTTCATTAGCCAGGGGGACGACAGATGCCGTTGCACGTATGGCAAGGTTGGTTTACCTCGGGGCACGGGACGGTCCTGGATGGAGACCTTTCGAGGGCCATCGAAGATGACGGCTTTCATTGTGGTTGGGATATCCATGACGGACTTAATAAAACGAGCTGATGTTGGTAATCAATAAAAAGACTAAAATTCGTCGCGCAGCGGTAGATGAATACGGTCTGATACTCTGGCAGCTTTTTTTCTTGGCAACGCAATGAGGCTTAATGATTCTTGGGAATGTGGCTCGTCCCCATCTAGCGTGTGTGGGCGGCAACAACAGATAGTGGTTGGCAAAAAGGCTGATGCTCGGTAAAGGGTAGTAAGAGTTAGCCCTTCCCGCCGTGGAATATCCGAACAGCCCGAGACTTGGGACGGCTGTCTAACTCCGTACTGGTAGTTTATTTGAGCGGGTTGCGGGGAAGAGACTTGCAGGCCGTGTGGGGGTTGCGGGGCTATCATGTGTGGTCCAGGTTTCACCTTTTAGGGGAATTCGAGTGCTCAAAAAGCTCACAATGCGAACTGATTGTACTGACACGTTCAGCGTTGACACCGTGATAGCCGTCATATCGACGCTATTATCAAGACAGTTTCTTACGTTAGGAGACCAGTTGCAAGGGGGGCAGCCCTGGCCTAGGGTGACCTGGAGCTTGTTTCACATGTCTCGAAGCTCCATATTACCTTGTAAAAAATTGTTCTCGACCATTTTCTCCTTGCAGCGTTGTTCGGTTGGCATGTCCGTGCAGCGGATGCTGCCCGCCCCCGGCTGTGGCACGCAAGTGGAAGCACCGACCCACTAACTATTAGAGAGAGATGGGGGTTGTGGATGGATGGATGCTGGATCGACCGGTGCTGCGGCTGGCGTTACGAGGTTGCGAGGGGTTCCGAATCTTCAAAACTGCATTTGTTCTGGAAAAAGGCGAGAATGGGTCTGAGTGAAGTAAGAGCTCGCTAATCCTTGCCGTGGAAGAATCACATGATTCGGCCTCAGCATGGGATAACGCTTACAAGTCCATGCCTCAGAAAAAAGGGAAGAGAAGTGGCGCCTTTATCAAGATTAGAGCTGAAAGACACAAATCCCGAGCGCCGCCCGAGTATCCGTGAAGAGGTAGTTAGGAGTGCCAAGAGAGAGGATGTGGTGATGTCTTGACCGGCAACAAAGAAATCTTCTTATGTACTTGAATTATTTTGTTGTCAGAGAGGCCCGGGCGTGAGCCGTGGCGTGCAGCTTTCAGCTAACTTAATTGTGACGCTTGCATGACCCCTACAACCCTCCTCTTCACTGTGCCTGGAGACAACAAGAGGCTGCCTTTCCATCGTCGCAGGCGCTGTCCGTAGAGGGGATAGTGAGAGGGGTAAATAGTCTTCGCGGCTTAATATTAGCCTCTAAAACCTCGAGCTATGACCAGCAGAATGACGAGGGAAGCCGTTTCGCCGTTTCGCCGAGTGTGGAGAGGACGACACCTTTTCCCCTTGCTTTTTGTAGTTACTGGTGGGCTAGTTTCTGGTCGCTGGCTGGCCGGCTGGTCTCTGATCAAAGGATGCCTTGTTTATGTTGTGCAACAGTGTCTAGTTATTGCAAATGCCAACCCTTTTTAATGGGTTCACAACTCGTCTGACCATGTGTTGGTAGTATTGGCATGGAGTAATGAATGGTACGACAGTCACTCCCAGAGTCTCCTTTAATAATTATTAAAGATTTTGTTTCCTCTCCTAACTTTTTGGCCGCGCTCGTTCAATTTTCCAAAGGCGGCGTTACCGTGCTTCAGATTGTGGCATGGTTCATGGATTGTGTCTACCGATGACGGTAGATACATATGTACATGTTCAACATCCGTGGGTACGGTGAGGTGCGGGGACGGCCGACGACTACAGCGGCTCCGAAGAGCCAACGCACGAATAAGACCAAGGAGTAGTAATATGGAGTCCGGAGCCTGGACTTGGGGTGTTCAAACTCAATAATAAAGACCAAAAGAGGAGGTCCAGCAGTTGATCGGGGCGGTCCCGGCTTTCCAGGGTGGCCAATTCGCTCATGCAGCTAGCCAGGCTGATTGATTATATGCATACCCAGTATCAATGCTGCGTGGCAGAGAATACCTTGGCTCGCAGGATAAGAAGCAGACGGGTGAGGCCTGCATGCATGTTGTTGACATAGCTGAACCTGAATCAATAGGACTGGTGCGATTACATGGCTATTTAGACAGCGCCGGGAACCGTGTCCAGCAACGTTGTTGTTCAACCTATGTATTAATTCTACTGTTGGTAATGGCTACGGATAGCCCAACGGCAAGCCCGCTAGAGATGGTGTGGGAGGGGACCATGACTTGGAGGAGCCTCAATGACAATAGCGAATGACGATGAAGATAAATCCTCAACTAGAGAAGTCCATGTGTATTCCCCCACATTCGAACGGAGTGCCTCCCCGCTATTCCGGGATGGCCCTGCTACGCTTTAGTCAAAATTCACCCCAGACGGGGCTACTTGATCCTTTTGGGGCATCCCTCGTTGTAACTTGTACTTTACCACCGCAAGCCAACCAAAGAGCCTCAGCCGTAACCCTCGAATCGACCAGCGCATATACCCGGGATTGGCGTCCAAGTTACTCTTGTCACTCAAGCCAGAATTCGAATTCGAGGCAGAAGATACAGCATTGACTGGCGACTTCCGCGGCTGCCGCTAACGGCGACGCTAGCCGGCTGGGGTTTGCTGTCACCGAGCTTCGTTGTGTTGAATGGAACGACGACAAGAAGCCAGGGCACTCGCAACTCCCAACATTGTCTGTGGGTCGAGTTATAAATACTTTGTTCCACGCCACGGCATATTTTCCAGAGCCTTTTGACCAAACTGCCAGTAACGCAACTCGCTCGCTGGGTCAGAGGGAAGAAGGGGACCCGTTAATGCCGCCCTCTCAAAGAGTGGGAATGATCGATACAAGTTCATTGGTGGCGTTGAGAACAAGCAATGGGTGCCCCAGACTGTTTTTTTCCTGGGGCTGAGTGTCACCGGGACTGGGGACTGGGAACTGGGGACTGGGGAAGGAAGACCCAGATAATAATAATAAGGCAGAGGACTCTAACTCGCATTCTGCGTCGCCGTGCCGCTCCCAGTGTAACGGAGACTGACCTGCTAACTGTAATTAGTTTGGTTTCTGACCCCAGTCAACCGAGCACTTCAGCCCTCTTGGTAAGTTGGCGAGTTTGTCAGTTAGTTATTAGTTAGCGGGTTGTCTTGGTCCAGTCGAAAAACGCATGGTTCTCCCCCACACAGCCATCTGGGTTGGCCCATTTTGTTAACTAGTTTGCAGGTGTTGAAGGCTGGAGCCCATGTCATGTACCTCTTGCGCAGCATCCGAAGCCGCATTGCAAAGACATGCCAGCCGCGGACGCATGGGGCAGCGAGTTTATGCATCCACCATAATAGCTTAGTCCATCCATTCATCCAAGCAAAGGAATCCACTGGTCGTTGGAACTTGGCTGGCAGAGTTGCTGCCCCAGTTTCCCCAGCCCTGGCCGGGGGGGGCGCGCGCCATGTTGACGAGTTATGTGTGCATGGATTACTACAAGTTCAAACAGGCAAACAGGCATATGGGCAAATTAAAGCAAGGGGAAAAGGCCGTGCTTCCTCCGAAGCCATCTGGATGGGGGGCAGCAGCCCCAGAAAGTTGCTGGCTGATCCGGCAGATCGAGACCTTGCCTGCTCGCCCACCAAGGGCTGAGAAGGCGATGGAAGAGCCGCTCAATTCGTTGGGGCTGCCTGGTCGCCCCCTCCCTCCCTCCCGACAACAAAGTACATGGTAATAGCGCCCTGGTGTGTGTACTTTTTTTTTTTTTTTTTTTTCAAGAGCCAGTAACTAGATTAGTGGTACGCAACGGCGTTGAGTTGTCGTATGTTCATCGGCCTCCTCGTGGTTCCCCAGGCTGGGCAGGGCCGCAGAAAAAAATTACCCCATACATGCAGTTTTACATGTAAGCAACATATCCGCCCAAAGCCTCTTCCTTTGCCTAGCTTCCTGATCCTGTACTTGATACCAGCTTCCGTCAGCTCGGATACGTAGCCGCGTCTTGCCATCTTGCTCCCTGTCGCAGGTGCAGCACCCCGTACTGTCTTGTACATGCACACGACTGTACCCCATCCAGATCTATCCACGTTTGGGTTGGACTCAACGACGCCTTCTCCGGGGCACACCCACAACCAAGTCTCCTTCCTTTTGTCTTCCCCTCTCCTCCGTCTTTTGGCTTGCATCTGTCCTTCAAGCTTCGCCTAGCCTCGCTGTTACCCAGTCTCGTGAAGCACAGTACAGCTTGTTTCATCTTGACCGACCCCAGCTTGTACACTTGGCCGGTGTGATACAGTCGCTTCCTGTCTCTCACATTCACAGCGCCTCCTCTTACTTATCCTACTTATCCTACTTGCCCTTTGTGTCAAGTACAGGAAACGTCTCCAGGGCTGGGTGGCCGGAAAGCCTGCCTTGTGGCGCCGAAACCTTCTCGCGCACCATCCGCAGCATCGCCACAAATTTCCATCACTCCATTGAACGCACCATACTGGTACGACTCACTTGTTCTTGGTATCAGACAGCCATACGTGCACCGAAGCCACGTTGTTGAGCAGAGTTGTTTGTCATCAGCATTGGTGTCATCCAGCCTGCCAGCCCATTCGATTGCCACTCCTGGCCAGCGCCGTGTTTCTTGCGCGTCAATCGTCGCACCCGCCTGGAATCCGTATATTAGCGCTGGATCTTATGATTACGTGCCTTGCTGCTGACAGAAGACTGTTTGTCAGTCTGCAACCGACATATCACAGCGCCTGTCCCAAGGTGTTGTGCAAGGCGCACCGTCACTTGCACACTTAGACCACCCGGCCGCACCATTGACCCCAGCAAGCCCAAACTCGCGCACATATATTATTTCTTTCTCACTCCTTCTCCAAACTCCGCATACCTGCTGAAAGATCCTTCTCTGGAAGCCGGTCTCTAGAGCATAGGTACCAATACGCAACCGAATCGTCGTGGAAACCCGGCAGCTGCAACTGCCTCTACTGTTCCAAGGAACCGACAGCGGCTTCGACTTGTCCGCATACACTGGCTCTAGTATACGTTGCAAGAACGCAGAATAACTTCCTTTCAGCGTCTTCGAGGATATGGCAAGCTAGTGTCTGCCGCTGTTCCAATTTCACACCACAATGACCGCCGTACAAAAGCACCAGTCACGACAGCAAGCAGTTTCTTTGTGTCTCGAATCGACTGCATACCGAAAAAGTCCGTCAACTTCCTCCTCTCTATCCCACTATCACGAACATTCGAATTCCAAATTCCATCCAACATCAAGTGCCGTTCTGGGATCTCAACCGAGTGGCTACAGCCAGGAACGAGTCCCACGAGCATTCCTTTCTTCTAAAAACGAGGCTATGAGTGCCCCTCTGACGGGAAACAACCAACTTCCAGCTATTCAGCCAAATACTGGTTTTATGAGGCACTCAAATCACCGGCAGACTGTTACCACTTCGCACGGCGCCACATTCTCTGGGGTGGGCAGACGAACTCCGCCTGCACCTCTTGAGGGCAGGCATCGTCATGGGTCAACTAGTTCTGGGGATCCAAGTCTGCAGTATCTGGCAGTAGATGCTCTACAAGCCGTACGGCCGCCTCGAGAGCGGAATATGTCATTACCGCAGCTCACCAACGACATTTCCATCTCTACGCGCAAGCTATCCTTGAGGGACGACCACTTGCCAAGCTTGTCCACTCTCTCGCGAGGCGCTTCCGCCGTAAAGTTTAGCATCAAGTCCGAAACTCGGTCGCCTCCGCCCCTACTCACGCCTGCGAGCGGAGAGTTACCTCCCTTGCAAATGGATTCAGCTAGGCCGGAGAAACTAGGCCAAAGCTTGCCGTCTATCCGGTCAACGTTTGGCGACATCAACAGAATCCCGCCTATCGAGAAGGATACTCCTATATCACCTCATCAAATTCCGAAATGCCCGGCCTCACCACCAGGTGCCACCCCCCGACTCCCTCCAATATCAGCAACTCACACCTCGCCGCCCATTTCACCCAACGACACATACCACAGAAATCTGCCGTCGCCACACTCCATCACATCGTCGGGCGGATCGTATGGGTATCCGCCTGCATCCTTACACCGTAGCTCCAGCTATGATATCTCTCGAGCGGGCTCTGATGCAGACACGGCCCATTCTCCCTCGACACAGTCGCACATGAGCATTGACGGCATTGCAAGCGGCCCGATTGGCTGCTATGTCTGCACTTTTGATGGTTGCGGTGCACATCCATTTCAGACACAATATTTACTAAATTCGCATGCCAACGTGCACTCTTCTGCTCGACCGCATTACTGTCCGGTCCAGGGCTGCCCGAGAAGTGAAGGCGGAAAGGGGTTCAAGCGCAAAAATGAAATGATTCGGCACGGTCTAGTGCATGATTCTCCAGGATACGTTTGCCCATTTTGTCCCGATCGCGAGCATAAATATCCGCGTCCAGATAACCTGCAACGGTATGTCTACTCTCGTTTCCATCTCCTACTATAGCCATGACTAACTTTTGTGAATCGTAGGCACGTTCGTGTTCACCATTTAGACAGAGATAAAGACGACCCTCTGCTGCGAGAAGTTTTGTCCCAACGACCAGATGGCCCGAATCGTGGCCGTAGACGGAGAGGCCCTGCTGTATAGGTCATAGCCCTTTTGTTCCAGCCTGCGGTTCTCACAGGCTGCAGAATGTCCCCGTGTTTAGTCCCAGACGTTGAAGGCTCCGGTATGCTGACACCGACGTTGATTTGCGCCGTCATTCTGCGCCATTTGCTGCCGCCACCTTCTTTCAGCAGCGGCTGTTTTGTCTATTTATTTGCTTCACTGTCCTTCGGTTGGGTAGCTAGCTAAGCTGGCGTTGCGCTTTTAAAATGTTCACGTTTTGTGTCCGAGGCGATGATACCACGAAGATACGAATGCAACTTACAATATGATTTTATCCTTGTTTTGATGCAAGCTATATCCAATGCATTTTCTCTTCCATCTTCGGCTTCATTGTTCCTAGACACGCAATACGTGTCTGCCACGTGGACTGAAAATTTCCGTATCCGGCTAATCACCAGCTCTGCCATGGACCAACATGTACTGGGGAGTCGCTAAATACATCCATTTCAAGTGATGTGGGAGTATTGTGCACTCCAATTATCTCAACAACAAGCCACATCTGTCCCGAGTGTGTCCGCTCCGGCTCAAGATCAAACTCCGGCGTCCGCAGCGCCACTGTGGACTCGACAAACTCGCCATCGCCAGACTCGGCAACTGTCAGCTGCTCGGGGCCCCAACCATGCACAATGTAGACACGAATCATGAGCGAAGAGGGCTGCCGTACAAACTCGTCTCTTGAACTTTTAGGGCCAACATTCCGTACGCAGACGCTTCCTCGGGTAAGCCAAGAGACTCGAATTTGGGCGCGCATCCGCTCTTCTCGTTCAGTGAGTGCCAGAGGCGTGAGGGAGTTGCGTAGACGACCAGCTGCATCGGCAGGGACACTCTCTAGCTCAACGGCTGATGTCGATGATACCCTAAGGGCAAAGTCTGCCGTCTGGTTCGCTTCAAAGGTGGAGCAAACCAAGCTATAGATACCAGGGTCGAGTTTGGGTATGTTAGCAACGGCGCATCCCTGTCTGTATTCCCCAGATGTTCCAGCTAGATCTTTAACGCGAATCGAGGACACTCGCTTTCCAGCCGCCCAAACGAGGTCGACATGGACGTGAACGTCTTGGTCGCCAGTCGTCAGCAGAATAGAAACGGGACCGGTTCGTGTTGTGGAGAGCTTATACTGGGGGTTGATGAAGTAGGTCGGAAGGGATGAGTTGCCGCCTGCTGTGCGTCGACTCCATGAGCCCTCAATCTCTTGGAAATGCGACATTGCTTCTTGGGCCTCGCGTACTTCAGCGGGGAGCTCGGAAAAGACAGCAAGAGTAAAATTGTAGTTCTTCAGCGGTAGTTCTTGCTGATCCAGGACAACGGTGTATTGTTTGCCTGGCTCAGTCTCTAGCCGGGCCAGGGTTTGCGGAGAGTCGACGTAAGGGCCGCGATACAGCTGTCCCTCGCTGGTCTGCACTCGTTTACCGTTAGCCTCAAATATCAGGATGCTCATGTACCCAAGCTGCTCGGCCATAGCAGCCATGGAGCCCCGCCGGTTTCGCATAATGACTAGCTCTTGATCAACAAAGTGGCGACTGACGAGTGCCCAAACGAGGCCGCCTCTAGGACAGGTGACGGAGTACTGCACATTGCGCACCAGCGATGCAGCAAGATATTTTGGTGGCGTGCTCCAGCTGAAATGTCGATCTTGGCGGTACGGGAAAAGCTTTGGGTTCCAATTCAAGTACATGGACTCGAAGTGCTGTGCCACATCTTCGAACGCAACCCACAGGGTGCCAGAGGGATATCGATCCGTTTTGCGGCTTGCGATGTCTCCGTCCTGCATCATTCCGGCCGTCGAAGATTTTTGCGGCGTAGACCAGCCAGCACCAGTCCACACAGGTCCATTGCACCACGGATTCTTGATCAGTAATTTTCGTATTCCATTCGAACAGTCCATGTCAAGGACAGCATAGTCATGCTCTCCAACTAAACCCATGACCTCCTCTTCCTCGGTAGAGATACGACCGGTTCCGAGGGTAACGACCACGTCCTGTGTTTCATGAGCGGCCTTGATCCGCCTCCATGTTGTGCTTAAATCAAAGTCTTCCCTCTGAAGGAAGAGTTGCTCAGGAATCCAGCCTGTAAGCACCCACAAATCGGTGCCGGAGTTGCTGCCAGGGAAGTCGTAGCCACCGCGCACTTTGAGATAGGCCTTTTCTAGAAGCGCTGGCCAGATGAGTCGTGGGTTCCGTCTATCTACCACGAAAAGTGTCCTGTCGGTTCTCGAGGCTGGTAGTCGATCATCAATAACAACGCGTCTCCAGCAGCCATTAAAGTTCATTCGAAAGACGTATTTTCCAGAAGCTGATATCTTAGGATAGCCGCTGTCATGGTTAAAAGGATGGATGATGAAGGCGAGCACCTTTTCGTTTCACGTGTCAGTATCATGAGCATAGCAGAGACACAGTAGAGTGCTTATTACCGAATGCTTGCCTGTCAGCATATCGATTGCGGCGGAAAGGCTGGCTACAACAGAGCAGTCGGTAGTGATGTCCTGGACCAAGTTGCAGCTCTGCGTGGGTTTCATCAAAGCATCAAGGTCATCATCAGGAATGTCGCAGAGATCTCGCGGCCTCTGCCATGAGGCGAAATTTTCTGTTTGGATTGGTGACAGGCTGAACGTAGTCTCGTCACTGGCGGGGAAATCAGCGGCGTGTTGCAAAAGGGCGCAACCCGGTATCATACGTGAACAGCTCCTGTCCCGACTTGTGCTGGAATTCAGCATCGGATGGATCTTTTTCCCACGGCGGAAACTCGTTTCCGTGCAATAAGGAGGACTGGCGCAAAATATCGGCTCCATCTAGCCGCAGCGGCGCTTTCGGTAGCTGTGTCTTTAGCTTTTCCGCTTGGGCAATGAGTGCATTGCATCTCTGTCGAAAGCGAGCGGCATCCTGCTTTTTCGAAGTACTGCTCGCGGCTCGCATGTAGAGCTCAGCTGCTTGGATTGCATAGTCCAACGCGGCCTGGCCGGTTGAGGTTGCTAGTAGAGCTTCGGCGACCTAGGGAGGGTCAGCTGCAGCGCATGGGAGGGCGGGCTCCGCTCGTTGGTTTACCTGCGCGTCTTTCTCCATTCTTGTTCAGTCGAAGCGCTTCATGGCACCTGTTGCAAAACAACAACTCCAACGTGACGTATATGCTCTAGTTTCAATTTGGCCGAGATGTGTCAGCTGGCGAATGGGGCAGTGAGGCAGTGTGATGCAGGCCATGTTACTGGATGGTGGGATGACATCCCGGTATAGGAATATCTCGGTTTGTTGCCAAAGTTCATCTTGGTTTGTAAATTGCGGGTATTGTCGACTCAACGCAGCGGACTCTCAACACCAGATGGCCAGAAAAGGAAGAATAAACATAAATGGTGTCAATAAAGAGACAGACGGGCCACAATAATATCGTCACGGATTGTAATGTGATTAGCGGCAGGGTTTGTATGGCAATTGCCACATGCCACTTGGCTTTTTGTCCAGGAGCGCCTTTGCACGCTTCTTGGCCGCCATGAAAGGGTCACTCAACATATACATCCTGGTCAGACCGAGCTTGCCAATAGCCATGTTCTCTGCGCTCCTCTATCTACAGCGCCGCTCCTCGAGGTGCCTTGTTCTTTACCATTCACTCGAGGGTTAGGGTTATGGCTATTTTCACTCGTTTATCAGCGAAAAACCCCCTCACTAGAAATACTCGTTGTTCTTTATGTATAATGGTCGATGCATCTAACATGGCCAATATGAATCGCAATCAATATGATGTTAAGATATCGTGCGCTATCTACCTGGACTACGCCCAGTAAAGCCTTACTGTTTGTGCCTGCTTAAACACAGGCTCACAGGCGGAAATGCCGGCTCGGCAGATCAAATATTAAGTCGTAAATGTGATGATATTTTGATAGGTGTGGGATTGTACAGAATCCACGATTCATACTGTTGTATATGTGAGCGCGCCAAGTGTAGCATCAAGTCTGTGTGCCAGGGTGCCCTTGTTATGATGTAAGAGTTGGCCCAATGCAACCCATCGTTATATAGTTCTCACAGTTCAGTTCGTATTATATTGGACTCCGTTGGCCTCTATCCCGCGATGTGTAAGCAACATCCTGACCCAAGCAAAGAGGCATAAAGTCTCAGGATTTACGGGATTAATACAACCAACTGGCGTCACTCACAATTTTTGGATCGAGGACGGACCGACTTAGATAACCTTGAAACTCATAGGGACTTTGACAAGGCCCCCTGACCGGCCAGAGCAGTGCTTGGTGGGAGAGTCAACAAGATTATGTTCCGTTCATATAAAGCGCCTATATGCCCTCCTATATGCCCTAACTTGCACAGGTTCATCTACAAGACTCACTTGCTTCCATACCCTCTGTCACCGACGGATTTTTTTTGGCTCTGGCCCTTGCTGGGCTTGCTACAGTTTCGCTTGCCGGGGTGAATACCACAGACTCCAAGGTAATTCTCAGTCGTGTAGCCCCCGGGGGTTTATAACCTCGAGCGCGATGGCAGCCAAAACCCCAGCGTGCTCATCAAGGTAGTTCAAACCCAAGGTGGCAAGCTCCGTCGCGAGTTTAATTTTAGGGTATTATATGTTGTATGGTTCCGGTGCGCGATACCGTAACTGGAACAGGTGCCAGGCGTCACAAAGGTGTGGCCGGTAGAACGACACAGAGCCCCGAAAACATGCGCCGCAACAACTCTGCGCTGTGGTGCCACGTCATGGCGCAGGTGGACAAGCTACAGGGGCTCAAGGGTAGCGGTATCAGAATTGCCGCGGTTGATATTGGCGTAAGTCAACTTCGCAAGAGAAAACATGAGTGGTGGACAACGCTTACACGGTGGACAGGTGAGTTCCACGTATTTAGCCCTCGGCGGTTGCTTGGGCAAAAATCGCCGAGTTGCCTTGGGCGACAACTTCTCCAAGGACGGCTAGACGAAGGACCCCACGAACCGTCATGGCTAGATAACTGCTGTGGCGGGTATTCTGGCGGGAAACGATGCGAATTAAGTCGGCCGGGCTCAAATGCGACCCTGGCCGCGTACGGGGTGCTCGACTGGTCGACTCAATTAGAAGCACACGACCTTGTGGTCAGCTGGATCAAGGCCTATGATGAAGTCGGCATGCAAACCATCGTCACATCTCTTGGCTGGGCAAGGTCTAGATGGGCTACACGTCCGGCGGCGGCTGTCGTCTCACGCATCGTCGACAGCGGCGTCCCCTATAAGTCGGCCTCGGCAACGATAGAGATGCAAGCCTCTTCTTCGCGCTGAATTGTTCCAGCGGCAAGGGCGTGATATCTGCCAATGCGTCGGCGCGGCCAAGGGGTATCATATTTGGGCCTATGAAGAATTCCCCTCAGGGCCAAATTCTCAACCTACGGTCCTCATTAGGGCCTCGATTCAAGCCCAGTGTAGGTGCATCTGGTGACAATGTTCCAGGCGTCTCCGGCGATGACAGCTTCGCCGATGTCTCGGGACTGTCCTCTGCTAGTCCTTTTTCGGTGGCATTATGGCTCTCCTGGCCGAGGCAAGAGAGTCTTTTGATCGTATTCATCAATAACCTCCCCATGTCCACAGAAGTGACCCAGGAGGGCTCTATCCAGTTTCACAGCAAAGTTGGAGAGACGTCTAGGTGTTTGGGGCGCATGTCGCGCAAGATGGTATTCCAAAAGTGGTAGGGAGCGGTGTTGGTGTTCTGCTTAGCCAGCATAGACCATACATAGGCTGGACCATATTAATACTGTAGCATACATATATATGATTTTAATCGCCTCGCTGACCATGGCTGCACTATGAATGGCTCTTGCGGGCGGTAGTTATGTAGTCGCCCTGGTACGATCATGAGCTGATGTGCGAGTAGGCTTCTTCCAGCTGCCTTTGAGATACCCAATGCGATTGGACAATATCGCTTGCATGAAGGTCAGCAGGCTTCTCTCCTTTTTCCCTCCGTCTCTACCTTTCTTCTTTCTTCGTGGGCTCTCTTTCGCGGGGTATTGGGGCGCTGGCACATAAGAGATACCTACCTACGCGCCTGTTTTTCGACAGGGCGTTAGACAGGTCTCCTATTTGATATATAGAGACGTGTAAGCAGCTGATAGAGTTGGGACGGTGGAAAATTACATAACTATTACTACCTTAAGGGTCGGAATAAGTAGCCTTGCACTTAGCTAGGTACCTAAGTACCTATTTATTGGCCCCTCTCGGTATCGCTCCGTACCGTACACGGAATCATGGGCGCAGGATACATAACTAGAAGGTATGAGGTAGGTGCTTACAGATTGTTACTTACATAGGTACCTACCTACCTGGTACCTAGGTACCTATGTATGTACATAGGAACCTAGTTGATGGTACACTTCAGCTTGCTAGCTACCTCGCAGGTATATACGCGAGTAAGGCCTGTTTTTAGACAGGGTACTAGATAGGTCGGTTTTTTAACAGATAATTTTCCCCTATCACAACGCTATTAGCATCTCTAACATAGCTTATAAAAAATATAAATATTTTTTAATATATAATAGTAACCTAATAGTATTATAATAAAAGAAAATTATATATTAAGTAGAAAATATGTCTAATACCCTATTAGAAAATAGGCCTTATATATATAGGTACCTAGGTGCCTATACCTACCTTATACTTATCAGGGCCAACTAAGGCCATAGGCTACCACCACAAGGTACCTTAGTAGGTATATCAACCTTAAGCTAATATACCTAGTAGAAGGTACCTAAGGTACTTAGGTATATATGTGAATAAGGCCTATTTTTAGATAGGGTACTAGATAGGTCTTTTTTTTAATAGCTAATTTTCCCCTATTATAATACTATTAGGTATCTAATATTAAGGACTAGCCCTAGGGCATCTATAGATAGGTGTTATAATAGTATTAACTCTCTTATAGAGTAAGAGAGGAGGAAAAGCTAGTCTATCTATCTACTATAGTATATAAAGGGGGCACGCTAGGGGTACGCCTATAGTAGCCTTAGGCTAAGTCTAGCTAGAGTAGGCTTAAGCCTAACTCCTTTATATACCCTCCCTCTCTAGTAGCACCCTAGTTATATTAGCTATAATTACCTAAGCTAATATAGGCCTACTATACCTTATTTACTTAAGCTAGTATATATTTAATATATACCTTATACCTATACTAGGTTATTACTTAAGGTCTATACTTTTATAGCCTATATATATATTATTAAAGAATATTCTTATAGTAACCTTAGTTTACTTACTTTTTACTATAGCCTTTATACTTAGGAATTTCTTTTAAGTAGTCTATATATTATAATTACCCCTATTCTAGGTATAGCTATCTAGGTAGCTAGTATTTACTAGCCTTACTCTTATTCTACCTATAGCTAGTTATATTATATTTAGCTTCTTAATATTATTAGTTATTACCTAGGTATAGTAAATTATCTTCTTATTATTACTAGGTAAGGTATATTATATATATACTATATTATTAATATATTTAAAGTAAGGGGTATTTCTTAGCTTAGTTAGCCTTCTTTTTTATAGATAAATCCTTTACTCTTTTCCTTAACCTACTTTATTTTTTTATTTCTTATAACCTTTAATTAACTCTATACTTTTAAAATACTTCTCTTTAAATTATAAATAATTTTATAATAATATATAAATATAATAGTAATAACCTATAATATTAGCTATTATTACTATACTACTACTATTACTACTACCTAGTAATAATAAGAGCCTAGAAGGGTATAAAAAGGGCTATTAAATAATTTATAGTTATACCTTATAAGGTAATTCTAATAATAAAGAGTATTAGTCTAATAATAAGCTAGACTTTCTATATATTATATATTTCCTATACTTATATTAAATAATAGTATTAAATTATATTATAAATACTAATAGTAAATATACTACTTATACTATAAGCTATTAGTCTTATATTTAAGAGCCTATCCTATTTATAAATAGTCCTAACCTATACTAATATATATATACTTTAGTAATACTTATTAATAGTAATAAGACTATTATAATACTAGTAACTAATACTATATATATTAAGGGGTATAAATATATAGTTCTAATAGCTATATAGGTAT